CAATAATCTTACCAGGTTAGCCTCGGCAACGATTCAGTACGTTTCCGATGGGAAAAGCCATGAATAAAGAAAAAGAGAATAAAAAAAATCACTCGTTAGTGAAGTCATGAAAATGGTATGGAGACGAGGTTGCTCACTACTTCGAACGCTCTCGTCGTGAACCTCACTCAGCCAACCTTAAAACCATATTCCCCGTGGCTCAGGAGAGAGAAAATATCAAAAAAGAAAGAAATCCTACAAAATCGATACGGATATCAGCAACAATCATGTATCAGGCCAGTCGCAATGATGAGATAACTATCGCCCAGGAGCATCGCTCAGACTCGGATCTCGATGTCCTCGCCCACGAGAAAACAAACACCACGCAACCCGATCAAGCCGTCGCCGACATTCAACCCTCCGAAAAGACCCAAATAGTTCAAGTCATCGGCCTCGAAGCTCTTCTTCCAACCTTCTCCCCAGTTGGGGCACTGAAAGCGAACGGCATTATCGATGATCAACTCGCCTCGGACATCTCGAACCTACAAGGCTTCCAGTCGCCATTCGCGTGGAGCAGACGAAAGAAAGCAACCGTACTATCTGGAGCTTTTCTAGCATCTTGCCTTGCAGCATACGCAGCCGGCGCCTACGCTCTCGCCTCTCAGCCGCTACGAAGCAAGTGGGATATCTCGGACACCGAGTTCAATGCGGGCATCACAATGTTCGTTTTGGGCTTTGGGTTCGCTCCTATGATTCTTGCACCCATAAGCGAAGCACGCGGTCGATATTGGGTCTTTTGCGGATCCGGATTGGTCTTCTTTCTCGGACTGGTTGGTTGCGCTGTGACGGACTCCTATGCCGGCATGTTGATATCCCGATTTGTGGTTGGTAGCGGAGCATCAGTCTACGCGACACTCACAGGTGGTGTCGTCAGCGATCTCTACCACAAAGAAGACCGGAATACACCGATGTCTCTCTACTCTCTGAGCATCATGATTGGCACTGGTCTGGGACCATTAATCAGTGGCGTCGTTGTTGATAATCTTGGCTGGAGATGGATCTTCTATCTTCAGGCTATCGCTGTAGGGTCTACAACTCTGGTAATATTCCTGTTTTTCAAGGAGACTCGAAGCAATATTGTCTTGAGAAGAAAATGTGTGAAGATTAATAAACTTATTTCAGAGAGCGGTTCAAGTCCTAACCTGCTAGAGTTCCGACCTGCCTCTGAGGAACGCAAATTCGACATCAACATTATATGGCGGAGCTTTGCCTTCCCTTTGAAACTACTGGTAACGGAGTCCGTGGTATTCTGGTTTTCAGCTTGGGTTTCGTTTGCTTGGGCTATTCTATACATGCAGTTTAGCAGTATTGGGATAGTTTTCAGAGACGTGTACGACTTTAGCAACACACAGGTCGGTGCTGTATACACGGCTGTCATTGTTGGTTCAATTGTCTCTTGCTTTTTATCTATTGCTCAAGAATCAGCCATGTACAGGTTTTACCCTCAACGCATGGCTTCCCCGGAGGGTCGACTGCTTGCACCCGGTATCCAATCCATTATGTTGCCTGCTGGACTTTTCTGGTTCGGGTGGAGTTCTGGGTCAAAGTCGCATTGGATATTGCCTACAATGGCAATTGGGTCGTGTACGATGGGGATTTTCAGTATTTATCTGGCAGTTTTCAACTATCTTGCCGATTCGTATCATCGGTACGCATCGTCGGCGTTAGCAGCTCAGAGCATGTGCCGGAATATATTAGCTGGTATATTTCCTCTATTCACGATGCTCATGCTGAGAGATCTGGGATATGGCCGAGCAGGTAGCTCGCTTGGGGGAATAGGGTTGCTTCTGACAGTGATACCGTGGCTACTATCGTTCTATGGGCACACGATCAGAGCACGGAGTCCGTTCGCGGGAGCACTGTTAACATCTTAAAAAAAGCTCACATCTATTAGAACTCATACTCATAACGTAAAAAGTAATGTTGATAAAGCCATATAATCATTCTCCGTCGGGCTTTGTTAGTGTCTACCTCATTTCGCATACTTCCCTGGTCCCAAATCGGATTCTCTCTGGCTTTGAGAGAGACTTTCAGGACTCAGTGTATTTACTAACGGAACATTCCTCACAATACCCAAGTGTCATAAACAAGCCATTTCGTTATAGTTCCACTAGTTTAAGGATCCAGGAATTCTTCTCGCCTTGTGATCAATATTCTATGACTCTCAGCAGGGCCAATGGCCCAGACGGGGGGACGCGGACCTGCTCCGCCGCCTGTTCAACTCCTCGGGGCTGGTCCGTCTGTCCCCGTCCCCGCTCCCAGTCAAGCTTAATGAGGCTAAACCTGCAATACTACTCGCGGTAGAGCATTTTCTGGGGCCCCAAATGACCAGATTTTCAGGGATTCCAAAACCTGGGGTTTTAGTATCTGACAAGGTCTTCCGAGTCTGCCCGTATGCGTTCAACGATGGTGTTCTGGACCAGCCGGGCCTCAATCATGAGTCCTTCCAAGGTTTGACTCTCCAGCCTTCTCTCTATAAAGACATCATTTATCCCCAGCAACTTCATCCCATCTCATCAATCACATCAGAAGACACGCCTCGGGTTCCCCTTTTGTGCAGACAACGGCCTCCATCGGTAGCAGAATGGCAGACAACCTCCCCTCCTCTCGTCCGTTGCGCTCCGTGGCGGAGATCCTCGCCAGCGACAAGACATCCGTTCTGTCACTCGCACCATCCCTCGTTCAGCTTTATGCCCTTCTGGCCCCAGCCTGTCTTGTTGTCTGCGCAACCAATGGCTATGACGGTTCAGTCCTCACAGGTTTGCAGGGTGTGACAGCATGGAACAATCAGTTTGGAAGCCCCAAGGGCTCACTGCTTGGGATAACCAGCGCCTCTTACCCCCTGGGTGCCATCGTTTCCACACCCTTTTCTGCATGGTTGTCCGATAAATACGGCCGACGCTCCTCGATCCTCATCGGCAGCTTCATCATGATCATCGGCGTCATTGTTCAGTGTGTCAGCACCACCATCGGCCAATTCATTGGCGGTCGTGTCATTGTCGGCTTCGGTATCACTCTTGCCCTGGCCGCAGCCCCTGTCCTCATCTCCGAGCTCGCTCATCCTCGTCACCGAGTCTTTTTCGGGTCCCTGTACAACACCAGCTTCTATCTCGGCGCTTTACTCGCAGGCTGGGTAGCTTTCGGAAGTTACCGCATCCCGAGCGCCTGGGCCTGGAGGCTGCCTACTCTACTACAAGCACTCCCGGCTTGCATCCAGATGGTCTTCGTGTGGTTTCTAGATGAATCGCCTCGTTGGCTGTTCTACAAGGATAGAACTGACGAAGCTCTAAACATCCTGATCAAGCATCATGGGAACGGGAAGCTTGATGATCTGGTCCAGGCTGAGTACTGGGAGATGAAGGAGACGCTCCAGGCTGAGCAGGAAGGAGAGAAGCAAAGTATCTCTCTGTTTATCAAGACCCCAGCCAACCGTCGACGGCTCGCCATTCTTGTCACTCTGGCCGTCTTCGGTCAATGGAGTGGAAATGGACTAGTAAGTGCACCACCCAAGAACCCTCTAGCTTTCATCGACTGACACAAAGCCAGGTGTCGTACTACCTCACCAAGATCCTAGCAAGCATCGGAATCTCAACCCAACGAGAACAAACAATGCTCAACGGAATAATCAGCACGGTCAACTACGCCACGGCCCTCTTCGCAGCCGTCCTATCGACCAAGATCGGCCGCCGCACCATGTTCATCGGGGGCGGCATCGCCATGTTCCTCACCTTCTCAGCTTTGACAATCAGCATCGCCGTCTACAACGAGACCGGGTCAGTGGCCGCGAGCAAATCCGGACTGGCGTTTATCTTCATCTACTACACCTCCTTCAACATCTGTCTAAACCCGCTGCTCTTCCTCTACCCCACCGAGATTCTACCATACAGGTTACGTGCCATGGGCCTCAGCATCCTCGTGTTTTCGACAAAGGCCGCATCATTCTTCAATCAGTTCGTCAATCCGATTGGCATGGATTCTCTGGGCTGGAAGTACTACCTGGTGTATGTTGGCTGGCTTCTTGTGGAAATCTGCGTCTTTTGGCTACTCTACGTTGAGACCAAGGGGTACACTCTTGAGAGAATCCAGGAGGCGTTCGGAGAGGATATCAAGTTCGACGGTCCAGAGGAGAAGAATGGACCGACGGTGGTCGATACTGTGTTTGAAAACAAGGGTGACGATGAGTCCAGCTCGCATGTGGAGAGGGCAAAGCATGCCTAGACTCAAACCATAATTACCGAGACTTCTGTAATCTTATCTGAGATAATTAACTTGTTTATAACTTTCAGCCAGCATTGGTTAATATCTTCACTCCGTGAACCCTTCCCAAGCTGACTGAAGATCTGTGCTTGGATTTGGCAAGACGGCGTTGCTTCACGCACCCAGTTGTCAAATAGTGAGTTGAAATAATAAACGACAAGCATGTGATCATTAGATTTGATTATTATAAGCTCTAATCAAGGACGTCAATCAGCTATGAGCATGCTGTTTCCCAGCAGAGGACTGAGTCAGTCACAACGTCTCATCTGCACTACCTCTAATGTGCATTCAGGGCTGGGCGATCTGAAAGCGCAATGAAATCGCAGTGAGAACTAACAAGAATCCTACGCCCGTCCACACATAGAGTTCATTCTCACAAGGTGCATGGTGACATGGAGTCTTGAAAGATTTTGGCGCTCCCAAATGCATCACTCCAAAGCTCGCTTTTCACAACCACCATTAGAATACGTGCCGATCAAAGAGGAGCATTAGTAAAAAGATATGACACGGATTCACCGTTGTGAGTCCTGCGAATTGCCTACGAACAGGTGAGCCGATAAATCCATCGTCACATAATTGTGTCAGACCTACCTCAGCAAGAGTCCCTGATACGTCAATCACCTTGAGCTTAGGGCACCGTTCGACCTTGTCGCCAACTGGGTTTGCTTGATTAGTTTATCTAGTTTGTGAGAAGAGCGAAGGGGGAATGAGAGTCACTCGACGCAACCTGGACTCTAGCTTCATGTAAGACTTACGGGGTACAGCTATTGTATTCGTTAGCGACGGGTCCATGGCATACTGTTCTAAGAGGCTTACTGTTGGTGACAACCAGGCCAGAGAGGCAGGACTGGTTGATATTATCAATAGCGTTGCCGCTAAGGATACCGTGAGTTACGATGGCGTAGACCTGGCTGGCGCCATGTTCATTCAAGGTAGCTGCGGCCTTTGCGAGCTGCAGGGGAAGAGGTCAACGATATTCAAGAAGTAGGATAAAACACGATTGGAGCCATACCGTCCCGCAGGTATCTGCGATGTCATCTACTATGATAGCCACTTTGTTCTGAACGTCACCGACCAGAATCATACGACCGACGACGTTGGGTCGCGGGCGTTCCTTGTGAATAAGAGCAAAGTTGATCTTCAGGCGATCAGCAATAGCCGCAGCACGCTTTGCGCCGCCAGCATCGGGTGAGACAATGACGCAGTCGTCGAGGTTGATGTTCTCCTGGATCCATCGGAGCACCGACGGCTCGGCGTAAAGATTGTCCACAGGCACGTTGAAGAAACCTTGAATTTGAGAAGCATGCAAGTCCATGGTAATGACATGGTTCTAACAAACACATCAGAACAAGAGCCCAGTGTGGGTCAAGGAGGGACCAAAGTTCTTACACAACCAGATACTTGCAGCATATTAGCCATCAGCTTCGCGCTGATAGGGGCGCGGGACTTGTCCTTTTTGTCTTGTCTGCTGTATGGGAAGCTGGGCAGGACCACAGTGATGCGTCGCGCCGACGCGCTGCGGCAGGCGTTGATGAGGATCATGAGCTCCATTAGCCCGTCGTTGACCTCCCCAGGCGCGGTGGACTGGAGGATGAAAACATCTTCGTCTCGGACTGACTCGCCGATGGAGATGCTCATTTCCTGGTTGGAATATTTGACATGAGTTGTGCTGGCGACCCGCGTCCCGAGCCTGTAGCCTGTTAGCCCAATGCCCCATCGCACCCGCAGCAAAAGTGTCGGTCCACGGCTGAGATGTTGCCGGCCCTGTTTCGCTTTCGTTCCAGGGTGGATGATGGATGGGGCTGCACGTACCGACTAGCCATCAAAGTGCCAAGCTCTGGGTGGCCGCTGCCAGCAATTAATTTGATTTCGTTGGCCATCTCTGCTCGCGGTCGTGGGGGAGCTGAAAGCGACGGGGGGGGATGTAACGAGAGCTCTTTGACCAAAATTACTGTGAAAAACCGGCAGCGAGGCTCTGCACGAAGAATTTGCTCAGCCGCCTGCTCTGCGCATATCGCTCCATATTCCAATCGCACTCTCCAGTGACGAGAGCCGTCAGAAACCGATCAGAAGTCACGTGCAAGACCAAGCTTTGCCACTGACCGCCTTGCTTTCTGCCTATCTCCAGCTAAACAACTCTATTTCCTCCTTCTTCGAGAATCGCACTGTGGCTTGAATATTTGCCTTCGGGGGGCAGACTATGATTTCAATTATTGTGCCAAGGAGCATATAAGCTTCCAATTTTCAGTGTGTCTGGTGCTGTCGCCATCGACCGCCCACTGACCTAATTACATCAGCCTGCATCCAATGCATGTGACTACCCTAGAGCTTTTGCCTCAACGCGATCAAACCTCAACCTACTAGGTATCTAGAACTTATGAAGAATTAATTACACATTATTTTTGCTTTCTATGACTATCTTGAAGTTGATTTTGTTATTGAATTTGAGTTTTGAAATAGGGCATATCTACCTAAAGTTGCGGCAGAGCACCCCAGTTTCGCGTTGATTTCTAAGTGAAACTGTTCTACTGAAGACTGAACCCAGGATCACGGAGAGCGGCGTAACTAAACGCCGAGATAGCCACTCAAGCCACAGTTCAGCCTCACTAAAAGAGATTGAAGCTAAGAGCAAGGGGCACCGTGAAGAACGCATTCATTAAACTCATACTTTCTCCCCAATGACGACCTACGTAGCTCTATTACGCGGCATTAACGTGAGTGGTCGCCGTAAGGTGCTCATGGCGGATCTGCGCGAGCTCCTCTCATCCCTCGAGCTGGACAATGTCCGGACCTATCTCCAGAGTGGGAATGCAGTATTCACGGCATCGGAACCCCTAGAAGAGGTTCACACATGTGTTGATAAAGCCATTTCTGAACGATTTTTCAATGACATACCCGTATTTCTCCGCTCTGGAGAGGACATCGACGCGCTTATCAAGAATAACCCCTTCGTCTCCGAGTGCGACAGCCTACCTAAATCTGTCCATGTGATTTTTCTCTCATCGTCGCCAGAGGCCGAGAAGGTCAAAGAACTGGACGTATATGCAACGAGAGAGGAGAAGATTGTTGCCCATGGTGAACACCTCATTGTGCATTTCCCGAACGGATATGGGAAGTCGAAGCTCACGCCGACGGTGGTGGAGCGGATTCTGGGGGTCTCAACCACTGCTCGCAACTGGCAGACCATCATGGCCCTGCAATCAATGATGGAGGACGACGCCTGATGCATTTTTGGACGTTTCATGGTTCATCGCATTTTACTGTCTCCATTTCATGATTCAAGGCTCTCACCCTGGCATTGAAGGGCATTTAAACCTGCTTAAGGTTCTGACTCGTATTGATGAACGTTTAAAATCGCAGCGGCAGCGGTAGATGAGCTGACGATCAATTGCTGTATGTTTGTTGCAGTGGACGGTTACGCGGCACTGGTTTAAGCGAAATTACTGATTGATGGAGAGACACTCCATCAAGAATCAGCCAATTGTAGGGGCCATCTCATACCTAGTGCCCAATGCCTGTTTCAGAGATCCTCCGTATACGTATTCTAATTCTTCAACCCCATCCTGCAGGTATTCAAGTTTGGAGTTGTTTGTAAATAAGACAGCCGTTAGAAGCATGCAGATTTGGCAATGACATTGATCGACAATGGGAAGAAAATCCGATTCAATTGTTCCGTGATCGACTGGCTATAAATTTCTCAGTGTCGTCGTAACCTTGGTTTCAACTAGGGTCCATTTCTCTGGGGCCTTACCAGTTTCACATTTCGGTAGCTCTGCTCCGAGCCTTTGTGAGGTTTTAATGAAACGAACCCTAGATGAAATGCCTGTTTATCGTCTCTGTGATCGGCTCACATATTATTCAATATAATTGTCAGAGCCGCAGCTTGGCTGTGGTACGCATTGGAGTTGATTGCTGCGAATCATTAACCTCCGGGGACATTCTTTACCTTCGATTCTCAACAACCATGGCTCCTTCATTCGTGGCCCTTCTAGCTGGTCTAGCATGTATCGGCTCAGTTGCAGCGCAACTGTCAGGAACAGTCGGTCCCACCACGTCGCGAGCCTCAAAGGCGGCAAAAAAGCGATGCAATATCATGGATTATGGAGGTGTGGCATCGGCGACGACCGATAACGGGGAAGCAATCAATGCCGCATGGAAGGCCTGCGCTGCAGTAGGAGGCGAAGTCTACGTTCCGGAGGGAGATTATGGGTTGGGCACCTGGTTGACGCTGTCGGGGAGCAGCATGTCATTCTGCCTTGATGGCACCATCCATCGTACTGGAACCGCTGGCGGTAACATGTTTATGTTCAAGCATATCACCGATTTCGAACTTTATAGCAGCACGTCTAAGGGAGCTATCCAAGGATATGGCTATGAATATCACAAAGGTCAGTGTTTTTTTATCTGTATGTTAATCATCTAAGATATGCTGACAATATTTCAGACAACACTTACGGCGCGCGAATCTTGAGATTTGCTGATGTTAATGATTTCTCTGTTCATGATATCTCGCTCGTGGACTCGCCCGCATTCCATTTCAGCCTTGATACTTGCACAAACGGAGAGGTGTATAACATGGTTATTCATGGCGGAAATCGAGGAGGGTTGGATGGCATCGATGTTTGGGGTACGAACATCTGGATTCATGATGTCGAAGTCAGCAACAAGGACGAATGTGTTACCGTCAAGAATCCATCGGACCATCTTTTGATTGAAAATATCTTCTGTAATTGGTCTGGCGGCTGCGCTATGGGTTCTTTGGCTACTGGTACAGGTAAGAATCTTCTCAATCCTCCTCCCCGACGTTAGACTGACCTCAGACAGACATTCGTGACATTGAGTACACCAACGTGTACACCCACAGCTCCAACCAGATGTTCATGTTCAAGTCCAACGGAGGAAGCGGTACAGTCTCAAATGTGGCTTTGAACAACTTCATTGGTCATTCTAACGCCTACACCCTGGATCTCGATGCGGCTTGGTCCAGCATGTCTACCGTCGATGGAGACGGTATTCTTTACTCCAACTTTACTTTCTCCGGCTGGAGCGGCACTTGCGCGAATGGAGTCCAGCGAGGACCTATCAAGTTCAATTGCCCTGCTGACGTCCCTTGCGCTGATATGGTGGTCAAGGATTTCAACGTCTGGACTGATTCAGGATCCAAGGTTCAGCACGTCTGCCATAACGCTTACGGAGAGGGAGCATGCCTTGCCTCCGGAGCAGCTACAGCAACTTACACCAGCACACAAACAATCACCACCTCGGGTGATTACTCAGTTCAGACTATGCCAGGCGAACTCACAGCTGGCCTCGGTCTCACTCAGTCTATCGCTATTCCCACCATTCCTTCGTCATTCTTCCCCGGAAAAGCCCCCTACAGCCCCCTGATGGGCAGCTCAGGCGGAAGCTCAACTGCTGCCCAGGAACAGGAGCTGTTAACTTCATCTACGGCTTCCCCTGCCGCTTCTACCGGAGCCGCTACCACCTCAGCAACGGCAACCGCTGTTGCGTCTGAGGACCCCGCTTTCGTTACTCTCTCTTCCGGTGTCTCGGCCGCTCCTTCATCAACGCCCTCTCAGTCCAAGTCCTCGGCATCGACTCGCCCTGCGGCACCAATCTCATCTTCGTCCGCTTCTAGAGTGAGCTCCGCTCCATCTGCTGTGCCAACAAAGGCATCCACGTCATCTACAGACCCGGCTAGTACCGGCTGTGGTCGACACGGCTCTCGCCATCGCTACAACCGCCGCTCCCATGCTTAAGAATATTTTATATGGAGCGTATGAGTAAGAAATTTGGATATAAAAGTTTTCGCTTCGTGGTGAATATGAGCCAAGCTGGTCTTGTTGTGGGGTTTAGCAAGGATGGCATGTCATCGTATTACGTTTATGGTGATTTGGAATGATATGTTTCCTGCTGCAACTAACCCCCTTGTCCCAATGTATATGAATTGAGGTTACGTTTGAACTGGCATCCTGAAAAGTTATGAATTAATGATTCGTTGGTAGTGCGGAGCTTTACAGGCAATGAACTAAAGTTTCTCGTGAACGTTGCAATCTAACAGCAAGGCTCCCTGTCTTCCTGAGGTAGCATTCCATTCTATGTTTTCACTATGGAGGTACATGTGAGTCAACAACTTATAAGAATGCCCACTATTTGTCAATGGCGTATCTGGCATCGGGCCTAGATGCCTATGAGATTTCATATCTGAATAATCGTTTATATTCACACCCCAGCTAATGTATGATGGACTAATATTATTGTTCCTTTCTTTTCACATGTCTTAACCATACAAAATTCTTCGGATTTGTCTTTTTAAGATTATTTTCATTACCGTAAAGTATCGGATACATTCGAGGGACCATGATTTGGTAGATCTTTATCCTAACTGGCGCGTATGCTTTGGCCGAGATGTGAGATCTTTATGCTTATTCATTGTGTTTGTATGTTGGATCTGGCATCTTCCATTGCTGTCTTTTTAGTAACACTCGAACTCTCGTCTGCCGTGAGAAGCTTATGGATATCAAGCGTGGCATGTTTGGGCCGCTATCCATCATTTCTTCGGCCAATATTGGTGATAGGTGACTGACTCAACCCTTGTTAACCACGAATAAGTGGTTGTCACGGATCGGACCGTTTCACCTTTCTGTCATAGAGGGTACGAAATAAAGGTCCCTCATTCACTGGACGCACATCATTAGATGCGAGAGCTTTTCAAGCCCCGCTCTTCACGGATAAACTGAGCCGTAATTAAAAGGCTGGGCAATTCTGGGCGTTGAGTTATTGAAACGATACCGATATTCGTGTCTAGAATCAGCTGTCCGTGAACTAGGAACCCCGCCATGGATCTATAGGAGCTGAATTCGGTTGTTGCCAAGCTTCGTCAGCCACCATCTTTTGAGCCCATTTAGTTCGGACCTGCATTTGATTGGCCCAATGAGATATCAGCCGTCTCAACTGTTGCAATTTCCCTCGGCCTTTCCATGTGATGATGAGTCCACGTAGACTTTGCTGCCGAAGTTGAGCGTACCTGCGGGCAGAACACAGACTACTGGTTGGGCGAGAGAACGCCACTAACGGTCACCTTCCATTGTAGGGCAAGCCCACTGCTGCAAATTGAGAATTTCTAATCGGTTGCAGGATTAGCGTGCTATAATGTCTTGATCAGGCTACGTTCCTTTGGCCCGCGAGGGTTAAGCTGGCTGAAGATGATTATTGAACAAGAGAGGTTGAATTCGTATAGCTTTCGAAGAAAATAGCCTCCGAGTGAACTGATATTTTCTCACTGGAATTCGCGAGATGAGAGCCGAGATCGTGGAAGTACACGTGCTACTATGTGTGGTAGGGCGGAAGGTCCTGGGATTCCCCGCGTTAAGTCTCACTCACCATCCTAATTTGGATAGTCAAATAGGCGGCTGAAGCCACATGACTTGGATTTGGGAGCTGGATGAACAGAGGCGGGCGTGTTTTCGCTTGTGAGACTGAGCAGTTGAGTCTCTACCCCATGGGGTCGCTCGGCAGTGTGAGAGGGTGTGGAGGGGTGGTCACGATGCCTCACTTGACAAATGTATGGTGGCCGGTAATGATAGAAAGAATTTTGCATGGTTTCTCGTGTATAAATACCAAGCATTCCGACCATGTGAGCAGCAGAAACATTATCACGCCTTCCCAAGCACATCAGGTTTCTGAGCTTTGATTTTCCAACGCTGCATCATGAAGTTCCTCTACGTCGTCCAGACCTTAATCGCCTTCGCCCTGGCCACGCCACTGCCTGAGACGGCTGCTGAAGTTGACCTGCAGAATCGAGGAGATTCTATCGGCATATCCTCTGTCCTTGTGCGTGATGAGCTGCGCAATGGCGGCAGCGCGTGCCCCAAGGCCATTCTCATCTTTGCTCGAGGCACAATGGAGCTGGATAACATGGTAAGGCCCAGTGGAGCAAGATTGACTTTTGGCAGAATTGAACTGATCAATCGGTTTGCTTGCAGGGTTTATTAGTCGGACCAGCTCTTGCAGGTGGCTTAGAAGGTATCCTGGGTTCAAACAACCTCTGGGTCCAAGGTGTAGGTGGTCAATATGCTGCCAACCTCGAGGGCAATCTGTTTCCAGATGGAACACCTCCTAAAGCCATCCAGGAGATGCTTAGCTTACTCCAATTGGCGGACACCAAGTGCCCAAACTCTAAGATTGTTACAGGGGGGTATAGGTACGCATTGTCTTCGATGGGCTGAGTAACAAAAAAAGGCTGAAAACTAACCTGCTTACAGCCAAGGTGCTGCACTCGTGGCTGCTGCTATTCGCGACGTCAAGGCTTCCATTCGACAAAAGATTGTGGGAACCGTACTCTTTGGGTATACCAAAAACAAACAGAGGAACGGGCAGGTCGAAAACTACTCAACTGATCGGCTTCGGGTCTATTGTAACCTCGGAGACTTGATTTGTGAGGGGACCTTGATTGTTCTACCACCACACCTTCTTTATGGAGTTCAGGCTGCTGGCCCAGCAGCCCAATTCCTCGCCAGCAAGATCAATTAGTAATTCCCTAATCGATGAATGGTAGACTATGGTGCCGTGTACCTAGATGCAAATACGAGAGATTAGATAGGAGGTGCCTGCGCGGCAGGACTGATAAGTCTTGCTTGTTACTTACGAGACAAACAAAATTAGTCGCATATCTTCAATAGGACCTGTAAGAAAGGAACAAGCTCTTCAATTTGTTTCTCGCCTTTTTTCCCAAGCGTGTAGCGCCATCCCACCTACTTAACGGACACGAGGTAGGGTGATGACGAATATGTTCTAGTCTTTGAGGACCTTTTTATATACAAAACAGTTTTTGACTACGTACATCTTGCCGTTGAACCTTGGTTCTCCTTCGATAAGTAAGATCACTGCTTGTTTGCTGCGTTGAGGGTAGTTGCCATGGTCTGGATATCTGCAGGAGCAGCGTCGGGGGTGATCCAGTGGTTGGTAGTGAAGACAGCGGCACCAATTCCCCTGGCGACAATGGCTTCAGATGCACTCAGCAGACTTTCGCTGTTGGCAGTGGCGAATCCGTTGCTTCCATGGAACCCGTGAACGAGAATGGCAGTCTTGGCGTAGTTCTCAGTACCGACCCAGTCCTTCAGAACGTTGTCAATGCTCGTGCCGTAGCCATCCTGGTCATAAGGAGTATACGATCCATCGCAAAGGTCTTCGCCGTTCGAGGTAGGGGACCAGCAGGTCTCGAAAGCCGAGATGTAGGTTGGGTTGAGAGCAAAGTAAGAGTCGAGGATATTCGGTGTAGCTGGGAAGCCAGCGTTGTAGACCACCGAGTCGCCAAGGCCGTCCAGCGAGCGGATATACTGTGTCAATTCCGACATGTATTGCACGCAAGAACCATCATTGGGTGCCTCATCGATAAAGATACCACCCACGTTGACTCCCTGCGAGTTCCAAGAGGCCCACTGGGCAATGTCTGCTTTGACGTCGGCGATTGCACGCTGGCAGCGGGTGCAGTGCACATATCCGACCAAAGACACGTTGGGCAGGTCTGCGAGCAGTTTGCCTCCAGCAGTCCAGTTGGGTCCATCAGTAGTGCCAAATGGGCTACCAGGGCCGTTGCTCACATTGATAATGATGGTTGCGGAGAGCTCCGAGTTGCTGGACAACGCAGAGGCCACAGAAGACCAACTAGCACCGTTGGTTCCTGGGTAGGTGTACAGAGGAAGCAGAAGATCAGTAGCCGCAGCCGAGGCCGCACACAAGGAGAGCAAAGAGAAGCGCATCTTGGTTGAGATTTGAGCTTAGAAAGATAGGATGCAGATACTAGAATATCTGAATGAGAGAGTGTGCCTAAGCTATTTATATAAAACCTGAGAAAATTTAGGGATATAATACTTGAAATAACAGTTTCTATTCCCCGGAGTTACAACTTGTGTCCCAACAGTAATACCGATTACATGGAACCATAACCAACAATCCACCTTCTTCTCCTTAATGGCACGATTTGTGTGTACTCTGCTTACGCCGAGGGTCATGAACTTGCTATTCTTAGCCAGCTAGCAGGGTGCAGAAACAACCCCGTTCTGTGTCAGCGTCATTTCAATTCAGAGCCACATGGCAAGGATGGGGCCACAACTGCCATTCAGTTCCTTCGGTCCCCTGCCGAAACATGGCTGACATCAGGAACAAGGGGGAAATGCCGACCGATCAGTCACTTGATTGCTTAGTTCAGAAGGAATTTCCCTTCCAGGAGTCTTTGAGCGCAACAATCCCTGTTTGGGTATGTTCTTGGCATGACTGAGGCTATTGTGCGTACGTGAGACGAAACAGCCCTGAGCAAATCTCAACGACAGGCTTGGGAGCGTGCTGTTTTTCCCTCATCGGGTTAGTCATTCCTTGTCCGGACTTATGACAATATCGGTAGTCTCTTTGCGACTTGCTTCGATGTCAATGATCATTTTCATTACGTAGTGCTAGTCACTCCGAGTCTTTAGGTCGGGGTAAACTCACCGACAGCGGCCAACCCATGTCCGGCATTCATTGCTTAGTAGAAGATGCGGGTAGTCCGGGACAGTTCAATGGTAATTGTCAAGGTTTCAATTACCCAAGCAGGAAGGTCGTCTCGGGGCCGAACCACCTGTCATCCTTGGCTAACCTCTTAGCGGCTAACTTTTAGTTTAAACCCGGATGATTTCAATCTTTCTAGACGGAGTTTGTTCCTCCATTGTTTTAACAAGGTATGAAAACGTGGGCTTAGACATCTACTAAAGGACATAATAGAAATATCCCCTCCTCGATTGCTTCAGCTTGATCTCACAGACCCATGCTTCGCATAACGCATCCAAGCCACCATTATGTTGATGCCTTTTGGATGACCCCCTTCTTCCCTAAATTCAAATTGTTATGATGCGTTCGGATTTCTTTGGTAGATATTTTTACCTGTCAATTCGGTGCGTAGACTAGATAGGTTGGCATACTAAGGAAGGAGTCAGTAAGTGATAACCTGTTGTGTGTATCACTCAATGTTCCTCTCTCTTAAGTCCCTCTCCCTTGTTGCCCAATCCAACATAAGGCCACAGATTATAGGTTCAATTGATGGCCAAAGAGAAAGTCTTGCCACTTATCTTGCTGTAATCTAGCTCACGGATAAACTTGGTGTATCATTCATCAGCGAGTATTGACCAATGTCAGACAATAGCGTGTACTCTAGCATGACTACTTACGAGCGTCCCACCCACCGGACAAGACTGTCATCTATTTTATTTTTGGTCCCCCATTACAGCTAATTGTGTTCATTAATTTTCAAGGTTTTAGATCGCTGCGAGTTAGTAATCAGATGCAAAATATCCGAATGAGCCCCATGTGGAAGGGAACCAAGCCTGGATGTACTACGTACTCCTTTCAAAACTAGGCGACTTGGGACTCACAAAATCTAGTGGCATTGCCATACTCTGCCATGTTTGATAGGGTTGACTTACTCACTGAAAGTTATCGACTATTAGTTGAGTCGCTCAGTGAGGCTGACAGCTGAATCATGAATCCTGCCAATCAGAAGCATTTCTTCGGGTCAGCTCCTGCAACGTGATCCCACATCCGCGTGATCAATGGGCGATCTTTCGCGGCTGCAACTCGGCTCATCACTCATCATCACTCACGCCGGCCCGGACTCCATGTCCCTCTCCCTGGCGATAGCCGGCCATCGAAATGAGCTATGGATCTCCATACAAGGACCTCGAGGTTTGCTCTGCGCCCGGGGACACAACTCGCGAGTGGCGGGGTAGCAGAGCTCCCAAGGCCCACGACGACTACGACGTTGCGTGGATCTGCGCGCTTTACTTGGAGATGGCAGCTGCTCAGGCCATGCTAGACGTGACGCATGATGACCTGTCCATGCACCCGAGCGACAGTAACTGCTATACCCTCGGGAGCATCGAAAGCCATAACGTGGTCAGTGCTTGCCTCCCTGACGGGCAGTACGGTACCAACAATGCAGCCAACGTGGCCGCCAACTTGCTGAGGACGTTTCCGTCTGTTCGCGTTGGTCTGATGGTTGGCATCGGGGGTGGCGTACCTACAAAGGCGGATATTCGTCTCGGTGATGTTGTTGTCGGATCGAGAGTGATGCAGTATGATATGGGCAAGATCACGGACGGAGGCATCCAAAGAACTGCTGTTCCAAGACTGATTCCGCGCTCGATTGGCACTATCGTCTCCAAATTGCGGGCGGCCCACGAGAACCTTCCCAGCAGAATTCCAGAAATCATGCGAGAGAAGCTGAGGCGCAGGCCAGACTACTGGCATCCAAGAGTGCCTGATCGTCTCTTTGAGTCAACGTACACGCATAGACAAATGGTCACAGACGGTCAACACCCGATTGACGTTCAAATTCGCACATGTGACGAGTGTGACGAGTCCAGACTACAGCCACGATACGAACGGCCGACAGAAGAGCCTCACATTCATTACGGCGCAATTGCATCTGGAAACCAAGTTGTGAAAGACGCCTCTATCAGAGATCAGATTGCTCGAGATCTAGATGTTATATGTTTCGAGATGGAGGCTGCTGGCCTCATGGACACCCTACCATGTCTCATAATTCGAGGTATATGCGATTACTCTGACTCCCACAAGAGCAAGGAATGGCAAAGGTATGCAGCAGCCACTGCAGCAGCGTATGCCCGGGAACTTCTTGAAATGTCACCCGTGAACCAACAGACTGTGAATGTTAAAGTTGGTAAGTACCGAGTTCTTGACATCTGTTCGATCTGAGAACTGACTGCCCCGAAGACTATCCTCGGTCTCGTACCAATCGAAAACGGTTACTCGAATCCCTTCACTTTGATCAGATGGACTCTCGAAGAGAGACTATACGAAACGCTTATGGTTCAACTTGCCGCTGGTTTCTCAATCACCCTAGCTATCTCGCTTGGTTAGACCCGAAGCAGCTTCCAAATCATAATGGGTTCTTGTGGGTCAGTGGAAAGCCTGGGGCCGGCAAATCTACCATCATGAAGTTCACCTTCTCGCACATGGTAGAGGAGAATCATCGCAAGATAAAACCCCATTATCATCCGGATAGCTGTTTTGCATCCTTTTTCTTCAACACCCGCGGCGACCGTTTGGAGAGGACCACCATGGGAATGTACCGATCATTGCTTATACAGCTTCTCGAGCGGTACGAGGACCTCCAAGCTATACTAGACAACTACCAGCTCGGTACAAAGAAACATGATGGTTGGTTTACCCTCGATACTCTCAAAATCATATTCCAGGATGCAGTTATGGGTCTCGGGAAAAGAGAGTTTACATGCTTTATCGATGCTCTTGATGAATGCGATGAGCAGCAGGCTATCGACATGATTCAATATTTCGAAGACCTTACGGAAGAGTCCATGAAGAAGGATATCCTGTTCCGTGTCTGCTTTTCAAGTCGTCATTATCCCTATATTGACATCCAGGGGAGTATTCGCTTGAAATTAGAGGATCAGCCAGGCCACGATGATGACCTCCAAATGTATGTCAAGCGTCGCCTAAAAGTCAGAGGCGCCTCAATGCTCGAAGAGCTCTACCCATTAATTCTTGAGAAAGCTGCGGGAGTCTTCTTGTGGGTTGTTCTAGTTATCAGCATGCTTAACAAGGAAGATCGCTATGGCAGACCTGCCTTGAAGAAGAGGATCACGGATCTACCTAACGATCTGAGTGAACTGTTTAAAAATATGATCACAAGAGACCTTGAGAATATGGAAGAGCTTCAACTATCTGTGCTTTGGGTACTCTATGCAAAACGACCGCTGGAGCCGGACGAGTATTATCACGCCCTGTGGGCAGGATTATATCCAAAAGGGCTGATGGATCCCGAAGTTCCTACAACGTCCACTGTATCAGTGGATTCTGAGGCAACAATTGAAAGATACGTTATCAGCTCGTCGAAAGGCCTAGCTGAGCTTACGAAATCTGGTCACCCCACCGTGCAATTCATCCATGAGTCAGTCCGGGATTTCCTTCTCAAAGACGGAGGGCTTCGTCAATTGTGGCCCGGTCTGAATGTCGAGTCGGAGAGTCTAGGCCATGAAAGGCTCAAAACATGCTGCGACACATACATCACCCATCCCGCCGTGCGGGAGGCTGTACATGAGGTCCCGTGGAAAGGCAACGCGCTGGAGAGTTTCGCGTTTCTAAGCTATGCTAGCCGACACATCATGCACCACGCCAATATTGCCTCTAAGTCCATAGCACAAGACGACTTTCTCACCCGCTTTTGCAATGAGAGCTGGCCAGCCATCCCAAAGGCCTTTAATGAATGGGCCTATGATCATAATACGAGCGTCTTGCGCTTTCTTGCGGAGAAAGGATATACTGGCCTCATCCGGGCGGCTCTAAGATCTAAACCAGAGATAAGCCCCTTAGCAGAAAAGCACGGTTATCCGCTCCTCGCTGCCATAGCCAACCACCACATAGAAGCTGCTGCTGCTCTGCTTAGCTCAGATGTTTCCATATTCAGCGGAGTTAAGTATGAGCGAAGCGCGAAGGATATCCTCCTAGGGAGTAATCAATCACGAACACCTCTTACTTGGGCAGCGCAGGGCGGACATCGGGAGATTGTGGAGCTTCTCCTTAAAAAAGGATCACCTCCTAACGAGGTGGACAGGGGCGGCAAAACGCCACTTTTCAGAGCTGTAACGAACGGTACAGCCGCCGTGGTGGAAATCTTGATCAGTCACGATGCAAATGTTAATGGCGAAGACACGGATGGGCCAACGCCATTGTCACAAGCATTGATGAATTGTCATGAGGAGGTGGCCAATATACTGACCAAGAAGGGGGCCAAAGTCAATACAGTTGTTAATCGCGGCTGGACACCGCTCTTACTAGCTTTGAAAAACAATTACAAGGCCTTGTCCATTCTCTTGATCGAAAGAGGCGCAAACATCAAGTCTGCAAATGCCCACGGCTGGACTCCGCTGTTGATGGCCTTGAGGGGTGGCTCACTAGTACTGATAGATCTGCTAGTGAAGCTGGGGGCAGACATCAACCTTTCAGATCAATTTGGGTGGACGCCGATATCTCTAGCAGCTGTGAATGGCCATCAGCCAGCGGTCGAGCTCCTCATCGAACACCGGGCCGAAATCAACACCTCTGACCAAGAAGGCCGCACGCCACTGTTGTTTGCACTACAAAGGGGCCACGAGCCCATTGCGAGGATACTCATGCAGCATGGGGCGGATGTCACTTGTAAGAACTCATTGCCACTTGTGCTCGCCTCCAAAAAAGGCTTCTATGAGCTTGCAACCCTCATGATTCGGCAAGGTGCCGACGTGAACACCGAGACTAGCAGTGGCTCAACACCTCTCCTCATGGCTATAGAACGAAACGATGAGAAGATGGTGAAGCTTTTGATCCAATCAGGAGCGCGAGTGAATTTCTCGACACCATCCAGCTGGCCACCTTTGTGTGTAGCTTCACAACTCGGCTTTTGGCAAATGATACATATTTTGGTAGAGAATGGAGCACAGATAAACGCGGCCACCACATTGGGCTGGACACCACTGCGCTTAGCCTCAAGAATCGGGCATGAGGAAGCAGTCAGACTTCTAATCTGCCACGGGGCAGATATTGTTGCTCGCGGTGAGGATGGCTCAACCCCTCTGTCGGAGGCCATGAAGTCTGGTCACAGGACTGTAGCCAAGCTACTGTTAGAAGAGGAGAAGAGGAAAAGAGTTAGCATAGCGGGTTTGTTAAACATAATCGATTCATAATTGCTTGATCGATGAATGGTAGATTGTGGTGGTGCTGTACACCCAGATATTAATGGATATGAGGATTGAGATCAGACAGGCGCCTGCGCGGCAGGCTTGATAGAAAGTCTTGCTTGTTACTAATGAAATGAACCAAATTACTCTGCCTGCTCTAATATTGTCCAATTTATATCATGCATATAATATTGAAGTTCCAGTCTGAGGATTTCTGACCTCGGAGTGAACGGATCGGGTCGGAGAATCAGTGCAGGGGCGGAGTAGCGGGGTACTCCGACCACCTTTGATGAAAGCTATCTAATCGTACGAGCCACCATGCCCTACCTAGGGACCCAATTGTGTCAGCCACTGTGTCTACTGGAAGCTTTCGCTTTTATCTTTCTTCTCTGCAATTCTTATCGCTTAATTTGTCTTGTCGGACGCGGGACTTGGTGGTAATTGCGTCTTCGGCTTGTGGTGGAGAATCATGGAGTAATGAGGCACTCCGAACACTGGCACAACTTTTCTCACAACAAAACCAGCCTTCTCATAGAGGGTTCGTCCAGCCGGGGTTGCAAACATATAACAGTCGACTTCCTGTCGCTGAGCTTGCTCAATGCCCCAGTTTAAAAGTATCTTGCCAATTCCTCGGCGTTGGTGTCGGGGGTCAACGCCGATGTATTCAAGATCTAGCGGGTTTGTTAGCTGCCAGTGAGCCAGGAGTAAAAGGGGCAGAAATAAACATGCGCCAAATATGTGCCGTGCCATCTTTTCCAAAGGTATCGACGGCATCGCCCCCAACAATTGAGCGCATCTCCTGGTATGCGGTCAGATCCAGCCCGGCTGGAGGCTCGGGCTCTTTGGGGTGCAGATGAACGGGCTCTCCCCGTCCGTTGTTGACCGGAGCTTCCCAGAACGAGAAGCCCACGACCTCATCGTTGAGCTGCTCATCTACAACGACCATCATGACGGTGCGTTCGGATTTCAGGGAAGCTCCCTTGCGGGCTTCACGCCACGGCGCAATTTGGGCATCGCCGGCGTTTCGGGGAAACAATCGGCGGGTGATTGAGTCGGTGGACGGATCAAAGGCGGCGGCGGAGATGCGACCGATGGCGGGGATGTCATCCGCGGTGGCGGTTCTGATCCGTAGAGACATGGTGATTGACTCGTGAGAGGAAAACCTTAAGTGAATCTAGATCTAGACAAAAGATTGACTCGAGATTAGGCGGGTGGAAGAGTAGGAGTATGACGTCTGATGGCTTGGTGAGGTGGGAGGTCTCAGACCTTGTCTTAAGAATTGGAGCCTAGACTCAGATTGTCTAAGTGAGGCTACGGAACCGGCCTAATTAATAAGTAAGTAAGTGGCCTGGGGTCTGACAGCAGCCCATATCACACAGTTGATCTCTCCACCTGATCCACCATGTACCCTTGCCTCTTCTGTTGCGAAGCAGGCAGAAACGAAATCCCAGGACCTGCAATTGGAAAGCAAAAGTGCTTCTGACTCAGGTGTGCCTATGCCATGAGGCGGAAGGGACTCTTGGCTGTTAAGACATCTAGATGAGGCGAGTTATCATGAGGCTTTCACTATTGGATCGTGATCGGCTTCACATCCCGAGAGAGGACAAGTCCGTAGTGCCGGGTCTAGCCGTGTTACATTAGATTTGCGAGGAGATAAGACTGCAGCTCTGATTTGCTCTTGCTAGATTCCGATCCAAATGGGGAAAGAAAAAGCAATTACTTCGGCTCTGGTGATTGCCATTGTCCGATTCGGAGCATTATGTTCGGAGCCTTCGGAGTGTTGAGGTTGCATTCTTTGTTTCACTTATGAGGTATTCCGACAAGGCTGCTAGCGAACATGAAAGCGTTATGCTCCAAAATATGATTGGGATATCTATGAGGGAAGTTTGGCATATCGGCGACTAGATAAACCGAATTGATTCTGTTTAATTCGCACAGCTTTCCATCTTATCCTCGATATCAAGTCTCGGCTAAGGCGCATATCTGAAGCCGCTCACACCCTCCAGCACGGGCTTGATTCCTTGGTCTGCCAGTCTATTCTGCCTTTTCAAATACATCGACATGGAAAATACAGCAATCGAGTAGCAAATCTGTAGCGCAATTGTGGACCACATTCCAGGGAGGTAGAGCTGGGCAGTAGAAAGTTAGTACCGGTAACTTCTTCATATGGCACAGAATCGCCTCACCGGTGCGTCTTGGCTTCGAAACATGGTGCTACCTGCGATGCCTCCAGCGGCACCTATTGAGATCATGGCCGCCGAGACTACTCCTCTCTTCTCTGGTCGCGCCGTTTGATTCTGGCCATATGCTAATGTCCCTGGGCTGTGAACGGTTAGTATGCTTCCATAAAACAGACGAGACGAGAGAACCTACACATTAGATTGTGCGCCGAAGACGGCAAGGAACATTCTATTATTGTAAGTAAATAGGATTGGCACTTGGAAGGGTGGTACATACCCAAAATAACGAACTCCTGGTAGCTTTCCGTAAATCATGATCAATAGACCAATGATGCTGACAGAGTTATTAGTCAACTTCCATTATGGCCAGCTCCCTCAACTTACGCAAAGCCAGATTGGATACATAGGATCCTTTCATGACATTTTAGTACAATGATCCACCTTGACTGATTTCGTCCACTTACATCCACCGGATTCGATACCTGTCTGATATCCACGCCATGAACATGCTTGCAGCGACAGCAAATAACTTGGCACCCGTTAGCTAGATGATACGCTGCTCAGATACCTATACACATACATAAGGAGGGCTCGATAAAAGCTGCGACATCGCGTAGTTAAATCCCATGCCCTCATTGAGAATGATCGTCTTGAAGTAGGACAGTGAGTACACACTAGAAGCAGGGACAAAGTATATCAGAGTGCTGAGCACCTAGGTTAGCTTGGCCCTTTTAAAAGATTGACTGCCATGTATATCATACTAAACCCCGACCTTCCAGTCTTTTAGCATTGAGAGGGCTTGTTTTATAGTAGGGTGCTCGTACTCGCGAGATACTTGGTCTGCATGGACGCGATTTGCTGCGATGTGCTTCTCGCGTGGGTTGAGAAAGGTTGCCTTTTCGGGAACTATGATCGGTTTTAGCTTCTGAGATTAAACCAGCTTGGACATGTGTCCAGACTCACAGTCGACGAGCAGAAACACGGCAACTATTCCGACCGCTACCGTGAATGCTCCTTCGATGATGAAAATCCACCTCCAGCCGGCTGCGTACATGCCGTCACCTACCCGGATAAGAGAGAGAGCGTATGCAATCTTTCCGATGTTAGCTTGGTATCAAAATGGTCTAGGGCTCCGGTATTACATACTATTGGGCCGAAGCCACTGGCAACGAGTGCAGCCATGTAGAAGAAGGAAATCCGCTTGGCCATCTCGAACTGCTTGTACCAAGACCCGATTATGAACACAGCCCCGGGAAACACTGGTCGAGGGGTTTAATTGATGACAAGTAACTTGAAGGTGGGTCATTACTTACGGCCAGCTTCGAAAATACCCAAAAGAGTCCGTAAGACCGTCAGTGTTTGCCAGTTGTGGATAAACCCCATTCCAAGTACAGAAGCTCCCCAAGCAGTTACAAGGAAGCTTAACCACCATCGGGCTCCAACGCGCCGGATAACGAGGTTTGAAGGAAGTTCGAATATTCCATATCCTGAAACACAAAAAGATTAAATTCTATCCATCCAACTTGGGAATAAGATCATACCGATGAAGAAGACCAGAAGCGCGACGTTGTATCTCGCCCTGTCCCATGTTGAGTCAATATGCAAATGTCTCAATATGCGGTCTGGGGCAACTACTCACCCAATCTGCAACTGTAGGTCCTTTGACAATCCGGCAATGTATGCAAGGGAGATGTTGGTTCGGTCGAGCAACGAAAGTCCGAAGATGATGCAAAGCATCGGAAACACCCTCAGGTCGATCTTTCTCCTGTGATGAAATCTTGGTTAGCGAAGCCTATATACGGCTCACCCGACGATAGAAACTCACACAAGGGCTTTCTCCTCTGATTCATCCCAGTCCTGCACTTCCCCGGCGGACTCTGAAGAGTTATTTTGCACGGCATCTTCGACAAGACTGGTTCTATGTTTGTCTTTTTCTTCCATGGCTTTTATCGTGGTATATGCACTAGTTGAGTTGACTTGAGGTTGCTGATTTTGGTCGTTCCTGAGTTCTGGGGATATCAAGCTTATGTAGCCTCTTCCTACGGGTCAAAGGATCCAGCCCAACGCGTACTACGAGCTTCCCACGAGCATCCTCGAATCATTTTCCCACCGCTCACCTCCCCAGACTGTATTGAGTGGAGCGAGGCCGGGGGTCAGGTTAACTTGGGTTCGCCTTTATGCTCTACCCCCGCATTCTAACCCCGCAAAGTACCCCTGGTGCATATTAGGTCTCATTATGGAGATAACGTGGTGTTGCTACATGCTACACAAGGCACAACTAGCAAGTATAGCGCGGAGGTCCCGTTGGGGTAATGCTCAGCCAAATGTCTGTTTGACTTTAAATACTCCAATTCCTGTGTCGATTTATGCTTATTTCTAGCTTTTGAGCCTTAATTCTATCCAGCGAGTCCGTGAAAACCAGTATGGTGTATATGAGTTCAAGATTTAAGCTGACTATTGCGTCCTCGTGATCTTCGGAGTACTAGAACAGTCCGACAACATACCAGAGAGCGGTTGTCTGACTTTTAGTAGCCGAATAAGACCAAGAAGCCGAGTTTGGAATATAGAATTCAATAAGATATTGGGTTGGTTGTCAACATCGTACGAGTCAGCGCCAGGATATTGCCACTGTAAGCCTCTACGCAAAGAACACTGAAAGAAATTCGATAGGAGGAAAGAATCTGATTCAGATTAATTCTCTGTTCGCAGAAATGAGCTTGTAGGGCAATCTTGAAGAGCGTAGGATCCTAATGTCACCCTACGCTTTTACAATAATTGGAGAGACTTTGGATGGTACGCGGGATCCGACATCGCACCATGCTNCATTTCACTTTGGACGACACAAGAAAATAAGGCTAGCACATACTCGTCGATTGTTCTCATGTCACTGTAAAGACCGAGTTGCCTTCGAATCGGCTGATGTGAGGCAAACATTCAGGGGTTGGGTAAGGCCGCGGAGAACATTAACCGGCGTATCAACATCAGGCAATATGTCATTTTCAAGCCCCTGTCTGATAGGCATTGCGGGGTAATTGGTTTAATGGATCACAAGAGCTACCATAGCAGTGCTTGGCGAAGTAAGGATGCCTGACTCAATGATATGCGGTGGCCTGTCAAGTGGGTGACAGGAGAATTGAGACACCTGATGGAAGAGTCATTATAAATAGATTCCTTTCCGTGATGGATAGAGAAATTCATTAGGATAAAACGAAATAAAGTGACAAAAGCTACTGTTTTTTTCTCTCAAATATGTATTATTAGACCTCAATAATTTGATAACACTACTCACAGGATTGAAAATAAGCAGCTTAGTTTCCATACTTTGATATGAGCCTCCCCATGATGGCCATGGCACCACCACGGTAGCCCCCACCAAAAATGGAATAGTGATTCAACTGATGATATCTATTCTCCCGGTCAGTAATGTGGCGCGGTTAAGAAAATACTCCAATCGAGTTGTTCAACTTACAGTTCATACAACTGGATCCTGTCTTCCCATTCCTCTTTCGGCTCCGCCTTAGGCATCAGCTTTTCATACTCACCCCAGAATTTACCATTATACCCTCCAAACATCTTCATGATTCCAAGCTCATATTCTGAATGCCCGTACACGGAAGAGGGGTCATATACCACTTCCTCAACACCTCCCTTGCCCGCAATCTGACCCCGAGAATGGTTCCCACTCCACAAATCACCATGGACCACGACCGGAATAATCCCTTTAACTGTTTCGTCCCCAATCAACCGGGGGACTACTTGGCTGGCCACTGCCTCCACGGCATCCGCCACCTCACGGTCTGGCCCATTGTTCCTCACCGAGGCGCGGTATATACTGCGAAGGCGATTCTCAGCGTAGAAATCGGCCCATGACTCCTTCCAACTGTTTTCCTGAGGGGTATCGCCGCAGCAAGTTGTGACGGGAAAGCCGAACATGGGCTTGTCATAGCCCTCAGGTACTGGTGCTGGGGTCGAATGGAGTTTGGCGAGCTTGGCAGCAAGGGAGAGACCTGAGCCACCGGGAGCAGCGGAGCCGAGATCGAGGAAGTCAGTGGCGAGAAAGAATTTATTGGGAGACGTATCCATGGCTCCGTGAGCGTAGGATCGAGGGCAAAAGTTAGGGAGGGCATTGTGGATTGCGTTGAGAGAGGCGTGTTCTCCTAGAATTCAATGTCAGGGTTTTTCCGCCTTTCGACTTTGGAGACAGTCCGTGGATGAGAGCGGCATCAAACCTTGGAACATGATGTCTGAATCCTTCCCTGAGCCAGTTTTAACGAAGAAAGTCTTGGTTTCTCCGTTCACCATGCAGGAGACCTTGAATGTGGATGAGAAACCCCCACCACCGTGTGAGGCCATTTTGGCTTGGTCGGGGTCCAGCCCAAGGGCCTGAACGATCGCAGGATCGACTTGAGGGGCCATGATTATCTAGCGTTCGAGTAATGAAGAATACGTCTGGGAGCTTGTTGGGGCGTGGTCTTCATCTCGAGCCTTTTGCGGCATTTGGGGAAAGTGAGGGGCGTGACGTCAGCCATCCATTCCAACCTTGTCTCGCCACAGATGATATAACCCTATATTTGTGCTCGCAAAGACACAAAAAGTGATGAAAAACAACAGTCGCCCTATAAAATTACTTTGGGACAAGATTGGAATTTTCTTGAATAGGCTTTTGCAGGGCGCAGCCCCAACCACGTCAAAGGGTGCTCCCAGACTGGTTGATAACCTTGGCAGTCGAACACCCTCACATTATAGATAGCATCTGTGACTACTGAGAGTTCTGAAAGACATTTCGTATCAAAATCGGATTTGTTTTTGGGTAATAAAATGACATGTAAACGATGCGAGAAGCTTGTCGCTTTCAATAGGTAGGTAGGTAGCGAAGCAAGATGCCACTGTCAGACATCAACCACGCACACACAATGGTGGGATCCTGCCGTGATCACATATGGAGGCTCGTATCAATTAATCTTTGGCTGATTAATCAATGTATTTGGCTTTTCCCGCTCAATACTAAGCCATATACACTGGCAGGTTTATCCATTTTAGGAGTTAGGATCGAGATTCTTCCAAGTCAATTTGTAGTAATGCTAAGAAAGCTATTGTTTGGGTCACTTGCATTGCCCAATGAAGCAAACCCCAATTCCCCCTTCAACATTCGTAAATAAAAGAATTATCAGCGGATTTAAATCTGGATTTTCCGGCCATAAATTTGTTCCTTGGGATAAGAGTGGTCGAGAGGACTGGGTCCGAGGTTTGAGAGTGGGATCACCTACGCAGTTTCACCGAAGCTCGGCGGAATATATCAATGCACCCAAAGCAGGCAGTAGAGCATAGGCCCGAGGCCAGGGTGAGATTATATCATCTATAAATCATTTATCTCTATTAATAATCGCATCTCAGTTGTAATTTTACATTTAAGGAGGCGCAATCTCGAACTACCGATACTCTCGTTAGGTAACACACATTGGCTCACAAGCACCAATCCCACTTTGACCTTTTGTAGAGAGAACATCTACCATCACGAAGAATTTTATAACTCATTCAAATGACCAGTATGGCTCCTTCATTCGAGGACGTTAGTGGCTCTCTCGACACAGAGCAACGAGGAACCAAGGCCTCAAGCCATACGAAGGCTGGCGCTACACCAACACAGTCAACGCCATCCACTGATATAGAAAACGAGAAAGAGACTGAAATTCGAGGAACTGATGCGTTTGATTCGGAAGAATCTGTAACTGCGGCGCCAATCGAATATCCTAAAGGAAGCCACCTCGTTCTTGTTACGACCGCTCTTGTTTTGTCGGTGTTTCTGGTGGCACTAGATCAGGTAGGTACGCCACATATTTCTCCTTGTGCGGATTTCTTGACAGAGCCTAAGTTTTGTTCTTTAGACTATTGTCGGAACCGCCATACCCAAAATCACGGACGAGTTCAAAGGGCTTCAATATGTGTCATGGTACGGCACCGCGTACTTTATGACCTCTGCCGGCTTTCAGTCATCCTGGGGCAAAGTCCCAATATACTTCAATCTCAAATACAGCTTCTTGGTCGCAATGCTGGTCTTCGAGCTAGGTAGCCTCATTTGCGGTGTTGCCCCGACTGCTACGGCCTTCATTGTCGGGCGCGCGATCGCTGGCCTAGGCTGCGCGGGCATCACAACATGTGCCATGACCATCATAGTCCTCAGCTCAAGGCCAGAGAATGTCCCAAGATTCATGGGAGTCATAGGGGCCACGTACAACATCGGCGCGGTATGCGGGCCTCTGATCGGAGGCGCGTTTTCGGAGGGCGTCACCTGGCGGTGGTGTTTTTATATAAACCTGCCCGTCGGTGGCATCGCACTCCTTGTTGTGCTGTTCTTCTTCCATAATCCTAGCCATTCGAAGCCGATCGACGCCACCCTTCTAGAGAAGATTGCGAATCTAGATTTGGGGGGCGTGGCTCTGGCCATGGGGGCTATCATCTCGTTGACATTGGCGCTCGAGTACGGCGGACAGAAGATGCCCTGGAACAGCAGTACCGTCATAGGCCTTTTGGTGGGCTTCGTGGCGATTGGCATCGCCTTTGTGGCCTGGCAGATCTGGCAAGGCGACCGAGGGATGATACCGCCACGGGTTATCAAAGTCTTACCCATCTGGTCCATGTCCCTGTTCCAGTTTTTCTTTGCTGGTTCTTACATGGTATCGCTTTATTATCTGCCGATATACTTTCAAAGTGTTCACGGTGTCAGTCCGATCCAGTCTGGCGTGAGAAACCTCCCCTTGGTGATCGCTTCGGCCATTGCGATCCTGTTGACTGGTCAACTCGTCGCCAAAACACAGAGGACTGGACCTGTGATGGTGTTCGGCTCCTCTCTCGCAACCGTCGCTTGCGGTCTGTTTTATACATTTAACACCGATACCTCTACCGGCACATGGATTGGGTATCAGATCCTTGCTGGCGCTGCTTGGGGTAGTGGCTTTCAGATGGCGATCAATACTGTCCAAGCCAAAGCAAAGCCGGCCGACCTCTCAACCGCAATATCTCTCAATTTCAGTAAGTCTCTTTCAAATCGCTCACCGCACAGAGAAGAACTTGAAATTTAACTGGTTTGCAGCTTTTCAAACGTTTGGGGGAGCCTTCGGCAGCGCGGCGGCTCAGAGTGCTTTTGTGAACATCATGACGAGCAAGTTGGCTTCTACTGCCCCCACGGTTGATCCCGCCACAGTCATATTGACTGGCTCGGCCGAGATTCGGAATGTTTTTGCACCTGATCAGGTGCCTGGGATTGTGCTTGCCTACATGTCGGGGCTTAAAGTTACTTTTGCCCTAATGGCCGGATTCGCCGGAATGTCCTTTCTCTTGAGTGGTCTACAAAGCTGGAAGAAGATTTATGGCGATAAGAAACCAAGCGATGTTATCCCAGCCTAGGTGGCATTACATTTAGCTTCACTAATATAGAATTCTGTCGGAGAAAGGGAGATGGTTGCGCGATGCGCAAGAAGGAGTCATTCAAGTTTGGGGCAGGAAATTACAAGATTGCAAGATACCTAGAGAACCATATAGAGCTTATATTTCTTTCATTTTAGGCTGCTAATTGTTATGGAGTCTATTTGACTCGAGTTCTATTCGATTCTCAGAGAGTCTATTCATAAAATCAACTTCATTTCTTAGTTGCGAGCACCAGTAGAGCATCAAACGTAAAGTTACCAATGACCTATGAAGTCCAGTTATCTTTACCTAGAATCTGATGTGGAAGGTCTTCTTCTCGCAGTGATGTATCGCCAACATTGACACCTGATAACTGGGGCACAAAAAGCGCAGTCCCAAAGAATTGTGGCTGAGTAGCTGCCAAGGCTTCTGAGGGAAAGTCTGGGGAATCCAACGCCAGGAATTGGTCCATATCAGTGTCAAAATCCGGCATCAGAGGTATTGTACCAGAGTTCGAATCAAACTGATGTTCGTGATGATCCTTGGAAGCCGCCTGTCGGCGTTCAATCGTGATGTGGCTAAAATGGGGAATAGGGATGCCAATAATTTTGGAGTCATTCCCTTCTGCTCCATCATCCGTTTCTTCATCCTCGACAGCAGGACCAGACCGGATTCTCACAGTGTAGTTACGGCCTTTTGAAAAATCTTCCTCGACAAGCAGTAGGCGTCGTAATGCTTGCTCGTTTTTCTCGTCCAGGAGTTTTCCCTCTGATCCTCTCACATCCTCGGCTGCCTGAAGCATACACTCTATCATGGCACGATCACTGCGACGCTGGTGTGCAAAGACGCTAGTGATCTTTGGATGCAGTCGGCTGTCAAAATGTCCAAGAAGCAGTGCCATGGAGGCCAATACGGCAATGAAGCCCAACGCACGATGACATGCTCCTGCGCTCCTGAAATGATGGGAAGCCAGAAACCGTGTAAGAAGCTCACGGCTTGCACTCATGCAAGCGATTCTTGAATAGTCGTACTTGGCGTCAGGGTCGAAGAGGAGGAGGTATGGCAGGTGGAGTTGAGTTACCAGGTTGAAGTAGAACATCTGAGCGGATACACGAGCCATGGCCCAAAACTCGTCCTCGGAGCCAACTTCGACACCAACGAACCTTGGAGATATCCAAAATTCTTCCGGCATGGTTGAACCTACTCTGATGAGTTCTGCGTCGATTTCTTGTGTCAAGTTCAAGTCGTTCGCTTGGAGACCTTTCTCGTTGCGGTCTATTATCCGCGAAGCTATTACAGCTTGAAGTCGGCCCAGCTTGTCCAGGGGTCCATCCGAAGCCAGTACGGAATCAGGAGGCATTTCGGTGTGGGGAGTGCCTTGGGGAAGTCCAAGTAACAAGCAAAGGTAGCGGTCCAGGTAGAGAATCCGAAACCAGACAAAATGGGGTTCCGTCTTGCAGGAAGGATCAATGTTTTTGACCGGTGGTGGGAGGGAGCGGTGGATGCCCATCATCTGAGCAACTAACAATGCTCTCCTGACGACCTGCCATGCCTTTCTGAGATTTCCATTGGTCTTGTGAAAGACTGACTCGTAGATGATGCACTCAAGACATTCCATGGTGCCGTGTAATTTTTCGTTGGTGGTCACCAGAGTCGAGACAGCTTCGACCAGTCGGTTGATTATCGCGTCAGGCTCCTCGGCCAAACCATGAATGTTGTCAATGCCGGATTGAAGAAATGAACAGAAAAGGAGCATTTTCTTTGCAAGGAGGACTGGGTGGGAAGCAGGGTCCATCAGCTCTTCACTTGAGGGTGGCATCTTCAAGGGTGTCAGGCCTTCTCGCTCCAGCGATCCGAAGGACGCGCTGTCCGCTAAGTGGAAGTAAAACTTGTGGCGACACATGAATTGACAGATGTTATCTGTATCTTGATGGGAAGGAAAGGCAGCTAGTAGCGCACGCGTGATTTTGCCATTCTCTCCTAACAGAGGTGGCCTTTGTCTACGAGTGTTCAACGCCACGACGCCGGACACCGGTGGCTGGAGATTATTGCTAGATGACCAGGCATCATGAGGCTGACAATCATTAGCTTTTGGATCATTGTACGGAGGTGATTTCGGGCATCACAGACCTCCTGGAATCCCCGGTCTACTCCCTGAGGCTCATCACTCCCATGGGTTGGAATAGGAGCCTCATGTAAGCTACGCAGAGGCTGGCCCTGGGCAGAGATAATGCTGCCCGTGAGTACGTCGACTTGCTTAGCCAGATCTTGAATCAGGTCCTCAACCCTTGCGATTCGATCGCCGATTTGCTGGTCCCTCGGCGGGGCCAGCTCCTCGGGCAGTTCTTGGCCAGCACACACGGCACCGCGCCGACGGCAGTTATTGCACACGGTGTCATTGGGGGATGCAAATACGCAGCGGACTTTGCGGCGTTTGCAGTCCCAGCAGCTCCGTGTCCCTTTCCTGATGTTGTGGCGCCTCGCCGAGCTCTCGGAGGCTCGCGATTTGTGGGTCTCGGCGGGATTCGGATAGAGCATGTTCAGGGCCAAAGACTGATGAAGATTTCTATTATGAAGAGGGAAGAGTTCGACCTGGTCAGCCAGCCGAACTTGATCCCGTGCCACTAAAGTGGTCTTCCGCCGAAGTTCGGTGATGGCCGCAGCGTCATAGGTGGCATTCCATCACAGGCCCACTCTGATATTCATCTCCTCATCCTCCCAGATTAGCTCAAGAAATTGCTTGAGATTAGTGATAGAAGAGATTAGGCAGTCATTATGGCTTATCTTACTTCTTTAGCTGCCGTCGTCATCTTCTTCTGTGTCGAACTTGGGATCAGGACTACATATCGTTCGTATTCTCTACCTACCCTGGAGCCTTGCACCATAACCCCCTCGACTTGCTAAGCTCTCTTTAACCGGCTTGCCTGTTCTTTTTCGAGAAGTGGCTGCGTATTTCTTAGTAGCGTGATTATTTTCCATGAAAATCTTTTTTCTTTTGCTTCATTTAAGTGATCATAGACAATACTCAAGGAGGATCTGGCAAGTATTAAGGAACATATTAAATACAGTAGCATCTTCAGTTTTCATTACAGCATATTAATCATATTCATACAGCTAGGAGGGCTATTAATCCATATAATATTCAAATATAAGCAAAGAGGTTGGCTTTTAAACGGACTACAAAAATAACAGAATATATTAATAGGTTTCATAAGCATGGATTTACATAAACCAGCTCTTTCCATACGAGGCAGATTTAACGAGGATTACCTCCCTGATTTATTTATTCTTGAAAATTACCTTACAGAGGCTTAGAAGTAGCGTTATATAGAAGACCTATTGAAATTTCTTCTAAAATACAATATTAGGGTTACAGTTTCATCCATCTTGGGATCTGGAGCAACTAATAATAGAACACCAGCAAAATAACTATACAGCTTATTTAGCCAGTAAGGCGTCTAACTCCCTTGGTAATTTCGCTATCCAAGCAATAAGAGGTGCTTTTCTTTTTCTTTTTCTTTTTTTTTTAAAGCAGTGGAATACTGTATCTTTCTTATTAGCTATAATATCCATTTCCAACTTGCTATGGATTCGCGACCACGTCCCGCCAACCGTGGCGAGTTTCGTATCACCATCATCTGTGCTCTCCCGCAGGAGGCTGATACCATTATCCTGCTATTCGACCAAAAATGGGGTAAGGAGGAGAGCTATAGCCATACAGAGGGCGATCAGAACCACTACACCACCAGTCGTATCGGACAGCACGATATTATCTTGGCCTATCTCCCAGGCATGGGTACCCAGAATGCAGCAGCTGCGGCGGCAAGCATGAAGACCAGCTTTTACGGGCTAAAGATGGCACTCCTCGTCGGAATCTGTGGCGCAGTGCCCAGGATTGGTGATAATGATGTGATGCTGGGAGACGTGATTATAAGCAACTGTATTGTCCAGTACGACTACGGCAAGCAATATCCGGGCCATTTTGAAACAAGGCCGACACTCGCTGGACCAGACAGGGATCTTTTGGGCCTGATTTCTGCCCTAGATACGGACCATGTCAGGCTATGGCTAAAGAAAAAGGCGAGGAGCCATCTGAAAGTATTGCAGCACGAAGCTGCTTCGTCCGAGTCGGAGACGGGACGACGTCGCCGTGCAAGCTACTTATATCCAGGCTTGAGACGAGACAGATTGTTCCAAGCAGACTACGTTCATAAGCACGACAGGAATTGCCATAAATGCCGCAAAGGCTTCTGCGAAAAAGCGTCGAAGGCCTCATGCTCTGCTCTCAGGTGCGATAAGTCGAAGCTGATTTCAAGAAAGGTATATGGCATTGACGGCCAAAACTATCAGTCAGAGATATTCATCGGGCGAGTGGGCTCTGCGAATACTGTGATGAAATCTGGAAAGGATAGGGATCGGATTGCTGCTGCGCATGACCTTATTGCCTTTGAGATGGAAGGCGCTGGTATTCTGGACCAAGTCCCATGCATTGTGATCAAGGGTGTTTGCGACTATGCAGATAGCCACAAGAATAAGACGTGGCAGGACTTTGCCGCTGCCACAGCCGCGTCTGTGATGAAAGCGGTTTTGCAGAGATATGACTGCGATGATAGGTTCGCTACTCACAGCCGGCCAATGTCACCAATGCTCACTCTCTGCCATACCATCCCGTATACTCGGAATCGCCATGTTATCATGCGCCAGGAAGTGGCAGAGAGATTGAAAACCCTTTTACCACAAACAGCTTCATATTCTGAGGCTGCGCTTTGGGGGTTAGGTGGGTCAGGGTAGGCATCCGTGTTCTTGTGGTCTCATGAAGAATAATGTAATTACTAACCTCGAGTAGAAAGACTCAAATCGCCTTGGAATACGCATATCAGCGATGGGACTCTAAAAACACTTTTGTATTCTGGGTACATGCAGATACAGAAGCCACTTTTATGCAGGATTACAAACATATTGCGCGTAAACTCAGGTTGGGCGAGTCACTGAAGGGCGAGCAGCTTTTGGAGGCTGTATGTGAGAAGATGGAGTCACTTCCACGCTGGTCACTCATTATCGACAATGCAGATGACATCAATTTGTACGGAGATTCTGGGGAGAGATGCACGAGAAGGGATTCCTTGAAAAGATTCATCCCGAAGTCTGCCAGAGAGTCCGCCGCAGTAGTCTGGACAAGCCGCGATGAGAAGATTGTCGGCACTTTGGTTGGGGTAGGGTGCGGCATCGAAATAGCCGGAATGAACGCTTCCGAAGCTCGGGCCTTGTTCGAAATCACGACAAATATAACGTTAACTGATGGCGATACACAAGCCGACGCCGAAACTCAGAGGCTTTTCAATGAGCTACAATGGCTAGCGCTGCCCATAAGTCAAGCCGGAGCATTTATGAAGCGGACCTCAACTTCAGCGGGTGAGTATTTGGCTCTTCTCTCAGATGATAACCATCGTTGGGAGCTTCTCCAGTCAAGTGAGGCTGCATCAACCCAAAGGCACAGTAGACTCGGTGTACCCAACAGTGTCCCGGGCACATGGCGCATATCCATCGAGCGGATCCGAGAGGAGAACAAGCTGGCTTCTCATATATTGCACGTTCTGTCTTACCTAGGTAATAAGAACATTTCGCACGCCATTATGGAAGCAGCAGCAAAGTATTACGGCAAAAGTGCTGCTCGTGACCGCACATCCCAAGCATCTTACCTAGGGCATCGGGTTATGATAGACGACGATAGTCCTAGCTCACGAAACTTAGATGTCATGAGAGCTGTATCGAGGCTTAAGGAGTACTCATTCGTTCGAGTGGAGGTAAGACGAGACGGGAAAACTTATGAGATCCACAAGCTCGTTCAAGATGCTGCTCGATATGGATTACGCTTGCGATCACTGGCAGACTCCCAAAACAGCACTAGGCAGCACAGGGGCTAGCAGAGAACCGGGGACGAGGCCTATTTTTCCGGAATCGCCCTACAAGTCATATACCGTCTCTATCCACCAATAGAAGATAATGCGTGGGATCAGGCAGAGAAATATCTTGCCCACGCTATGAGGGTGATCGAATGGGCAGAGGTTTGTAGCATGCCAGATCGCACAGCATCACTGATAGATCGGGTCCGGCATTTCATATCAGGCCGAGCTGGCTACTCACAAAGTATGGTGTTAAAGTTGGCAGAAAAGACACTTGCGCTTCGAGAGAAGGCGCTTCGTTACCGACATCCAGATACTCTCAGCAGCATGTACGATGTTGCGAGAGCGCATTACGACCTTGGAAACTACGATGATGCCGAGGACCTCGCGGTCCAACTATACCCGTTATACAAGAGAGAATTTGGTGAAAGGTCCCCCAAGACAATCCATGCCCTGATATTGAGAGCAGACGCAACCTTTAGGAACGGGCGTTGGGATGAGGCAGAACAACTATTGTCTCGGGCAACAGACCGTTACAGTCGCGCAGGCATATACGACAAACCATTCGCCCAGGCCATGTATCATCGTGCGTGGATGCGCAAACGTCAAGGGGACAACGATGGGGCTCTACACCTTGCGCTGGCTGCGAAAGAAATTTTGCAACAGCATGAGCCTAGTCGATATTACATTTGGTGTATGCAGCTGGTGGCTGAAGTTTACATATATCGAATGAACTATTCCGACGCTGTTTCGACACTCCGTCCTGCACTGAGAGATTCCCAGAAGACATTCGTGGCATTTAAAACAACCTTTGATATCATGTTCCTACTGGCCTTTTCACACTTCTATTTGGTCGAATATGACGAGGCAGAGTTTGTCGTGAAGAAAGCAGTGAATGAAGGAAAGAACATGCTCGGGGCTGCTGACTCCAGAACTCTCCAAGCTCAGATTCTGTTGGAGAAGATACAAATCGCAATCAGAGATATTGATGATGAGAGCGAACCAGGAAGTAGGGCATCTATCAGCCACGCTTTACATGCAAAGCTGCCGATCTTGTATCACATATCAAATTGGAAGACACGACTTTCCCCCAAGACCCTTTTTCTGAGCAGTGGAACTCAGAGAAGCCGCCGATATTGAGAACGTCTTTGGAATAATGCCATGGACGATTCTGCATTTGCACTGGCTAGCCCACAAGAGATTTGTTCAACAGTGTTCCGAGTATTAGCACCTTGACAGATCCTCTCAAAGGTCTACTATGGATTTTTCCGTTGCCGAGGCTTAGTATTCCCACGGCTTGACTGAAGTCACGCCACGGAATTTGCCCTGTACGCCTCATTGTCCTGCCTGCGGGCACACTAATCCAAAAATTGGGGTATAAGCCATCGGGGCATCGGGGTATCCACGAGTTTGACCGCCCGTTATCATGCCGATCGAGCCTGTCTATGGATGGAAAGGGAAGCGAAAGAGGCGTGCGGCCGGGGCTCCAGTGGTGGCGGAACAACCGGCTGCAAGGATCACCACTGCTTGCATGAACATGAGCACATCGTTCATCTGAAGGCCAGTCTTGTGACGATGGACCCCCTGCCAGGCGGGGCTGATTTATTTGGGATACAAAGCCGAGACGGGCGAAATGAAGCACCGCCCTGTTCGTCAAAGGGGGTCACCTGAAGCGGATCGCGCCGCAAGTAAAACATAGAAGGTTGCTGGCCCTCAGGTGGTGCATCGGCGGCGGTCCCCGCAGGTTTCCAAGGATATGGATAGGGTATCAAGATCCTCGTCAGTGCCGTGGCGAGCTGAATGACCAAATCTTAGCATTGATGAGCGGCATGGGCCTTGGCCTGGACACAAGCTGAACAATGCGGCCGCATTAAATACGAAGCTCGACCTCGCTTTCAGGAGTGCTGCCTGGGGTTTCGTCAGCAACCTGGGCTTTCTACGCTTACAGTCAGTAATATGGTATGCATATCATCAGTCGTCTGGCAAAGCTGAGAGAATTGTCCCACAGTTTTTACCGCCAAGCAGAGGATATTAGTCGCTTAATTTGGGGATATGGGGCAAGCGGGTAGAAGAATCTGACGGCAATCTAAGCCCTATCAATAGACGATGGCCATGAACCAACGTGTTGGTTTTGTAGGCGGGAGGAGATGTGATGCAGACGGGGATCCCCGATGAACTCCTGCTCACCCCTGTAGGCGAACTGTTTTGCAGGCATCAGGCTCTCCACCCCCAGGTGACACAAGAGCGTGTTCCAGCGGAATGTTCAGGCCATGTTAATTAATCGCTTGGGTCTGCCAAGGTTGTTCTGACCATGCCACAGGTAAAAACAAATGAAAGCTGAAACCACATCGGAGAGGCAACATCTTGGCTAATAAGTTATGAGAAAGGAAGATGGCTAAAGACAAAGACAAAGCCCGAGAGCCAGGAAATTAGACAAGATGAAATCGGGCTTTGATTTCGTTAGAATGAGAAAGCCTCACTTCACAAATAACCTTAGCCCACATCCAATCTGGTTTACTTCAACCCCTCGTTCAATTCAAAGCCATTGATTGACGGAAGAATTCCATATCCCAGCCTTTCAACTATCCTCTAACTGCAAATAGGTTGGCTGCTTGGCTTCTGAACAGAGTTGCTGGGGTTCGTCCGGCCACATCCATTGGCCGCGCCTAGGAGCGTATCATCCACTGCGGCATCGTAGGCCGCACCACAATTGGGATCACTAAGAGCCAAATATTAACTCCCTGTAGCAATAGAGATAATAAACTGTAATTTGGGCTTACCTTGAGCCACCGCTTGCACTGTTAAAGTAGGAGCATATGTCATGTGAAAAGCAGTCCTGTGTGTACGCATTTCCAAGCGCAGTGCCTGTACAGCCTGCTCCACATCGACCATTGCATGAATAACTAGAGATTAGAGTAAGAACCTCGTGTACAGCAATAGGAACTGATCGTCCGAAAATCCCAAAACTTACTCGCCAGACCCGGAGGGATTTGTCCCAAAGTTACTTCCCACTGCTCCGGTCCATCGGCATGACTGCCCAGCTGAGTTGGTCCATTGAGCTGTAGCCTGTTGACCAACGGTCAAACAAGTCACAGATCGCTTCTCAATGGTCGGGGAGGCGACGGAAAGTCCCACCAAAGTGAGGAACAGGGTAGTGATAATGAACATTCTCTAATGTCCTCGCCAACGAATGAGGTATAAAACCAGGTTTGAAGTACAAACGAATGCTCAGAACAAATAACGCAGGCTAATAGATTATTTATATGCGATTCGAGGCTTCCTTTCTATCTTTTCTTTTTAATGAACGGCACGTATCCCCGCACTAGACTGGCAACTTCTCGGAGAAAATCTCGGAGCCAACCTCAATTTCCACACGACTTAGCAGTCGAATCACCGCAATAGGGAAACACCCGGCGGAAGGCGAATGGTGTCATCGGTACTGGCAACCCAATCTAGATGTCGGGTTTCTCAATAAACAAACATGCAGATAATTCAGATCATTCGGGATTAGCCCATCGATGTCCTAAAACTCTGCTCCGCTTCTATGTAACTTGTTCGATACAGAAATAAGACCGCATCTGACCTAAGTTCCACTGCCAATGAGTAACACAGTTGATCGCTTGCTATGGACCATATTCCACACAATAAGAAATCATTCTAGGCATAATGACTATGTAGATATCGTGGATGATACTCTTTGGTAATTTCATCGCCGGGTTATCGTCACAGGCCAACTTAGTGCTATGTAAGTGCTACTTCTATCTGTACCAACTAGATTGTTAAGCCATATAACTATCCATCTATAGGCATTTCTAGTCGCAATATTAACTATCTCGTTTCTAGATGTTGAAGAATGGATGGCAAGAAAATCAGTGAGCCAACATCGACTTTCACTACAAATGGGATATAGCACCGAAGGACTAAGACCATTGTCACTAGACTTGCTTGTTGGCAAGAACAGAGTTTTAATTCCTTTCGTATATGAACAGCAAACCCTAAGGGCTTCCTATGTTGACTTGTCAGGCAAGGAGTGCAAGCATATAAGTCTTGGTTCCGCCGTGAACCAGGCTTTCTCACACCAGTCTCAACCACTCTAGCTGCTCTTGTTAAAGGGCATCATTCTATGTTTACCCCGACAACCAAGTTTCATTCTTAGAAACATCGGGTATATGTCGGAGATGATCCACCGCATGGTTCAAGAAACCTCATCATAAGAAGAGGATGGATCCAGAGCGTATAAAAAGAAGCAACTTGTCTGTCAATATCTGTGTTCCATTACTGGACCTAATAATGTCTCATTGGGAATTACTTGCATTAGTATGCAAAGGCATGCAAAAATGACTCACATAATCTTTATAAATAGCTGGTTACTCTCACAGCATGTCGCGTGATGTAGTTCAAGGCTCATCCACACACCCACATATTTCGATGTCACCGCTGACGTGATGCTGCAGGGATATCCGGATTGAGACACTCTGAAGAACATCTAAAGAACAATTGCTGGACTTTTAGATGTCAAGTATTGGTCAAGAAGTATCCATGATATTGAGGACTGGGTGTGACAATAAGGTTACAAGTCCTGATGGCCAGCTTTGACCACCGGACTCTATTCCTTCTTTATTCCTAAATGTTCCCTCGTGTCTGACCTCACCGCTAATAACTTTCATATTTAGCCGCTGTTTCCAGAAGGCAGTCAGGGGCTCGGCCACGTACCATGCATAGAGCCGTGCATGATCTACCTGAGAATGAAGGCTTTGTCTGTAGACGATCAAAATGCCCACTTGCTTCCGGGCCGCAGATTGAAGGCCGAGATGTGACAGGGCAGGGCTCATCCCCAGTGTTTCGCTTCACTTTGGCCATGAATGGTTTCAAACGAAGCTCTCCCTCTCCTCTCACTCATCCCCGCGCATTGACTTTGCTCTTACTCCCCCAAATATTAATGAGGGTGGTCAGCTTTGTATACGAAAAAAGCGGTGTGCCAAGAAAAGCTGTGAGGTCAAGGGTTCACATTCAGACATCTCTCCAGTTCAGTGAATCACTCATCTGTTTGGCTGCTGATCATCGGTGTCGACCACTTCGGCAGCAACGGAGTCGGGTTCCACGGCTCAGCGGATTCAACGGAAAATGTCCCCGTATTCGGTCGACAATGCGCTTGAATGAAATGACAGATCTGATCGATTCACCGAAAGTCAAGCACCACCGATATTGCCTGCAGGGGAGTGGGGCCCCGGGTTGTCGCCCACGGGCTAGGAAGGACTGGGCCAAGTTTGCGATCTCTGCGACTTGTTCAGGGCTAACTGGATCGAACTGGGTTGAGTTTTGAATCCATTTTCGCGTTTGTGGGCTGGTTACAGGCCATTATAGCATCGAACTGTTATGCGGAGGACGTCTCGTGCTGTCAATATGCCCACTCCTGGCCCGGCCAGACCGCTCCCGCGAGCTGGTTCTCTCTTGTGGAAAATCCCAGCTGGTGAAAATAAAGCCATCATCAGGATGCGCCTTTGCTTACCATCGCCCCCAAGAGGAACGGTGTAATGGTAAGCCACGTGGTGCTTTCCATTTTGGTTTGGGATCCGCACGATGAGGCAGGCTCACTCACCCTGTTTATCTTACAACTTATTTATACAGTGAATTGCTGCTGCCTTAGCTCTTCAGTCCGTGATTAATCAAGGACCGTATTTCAATCGGTGGCGGAAGATTGAGGGTTCCCCCTTGTCACTTCCAAAATAAAATAATCAAACCCCCTGCCCAATTATAGCTGTGGACCGCTTGGAAGAAGGGGTAACCCGACGATTAAGGGTTGATAAGTTCAGATGACGTCTTTCCAATAAGAATACGGAATTGGACGCAGGGACGAGTCGAAAGTTCTTATGGCTCATAACACGAACTATCTTTCTCGAATCCCTCATCAACAACAACCAAGGCACCTCGAGTCACACCATACCAGATCGCATCCTCGTCACAGTCAGATGACCTACACTATTTATACCGTCTACCCCCCACGTCCAACCCCGCAGAATCCTTCATCGAGGCGACAGACAAGCATCCCATTTTCTCGCAGTATTGGCAAGCCCGCCATGGAGTGTCAAGTTCTCAGCACTTGGAACCAGTGCGCGCCAAGAGGCTATGTCCGGCAGTGGTTTTGTTTCCCTTGCCGACAAGACGTCAACCTCAAAAACCTCAGAAATCATCTGGTTATCTGCTTGGAGCAACTCTCAGCACAGTTTCCATTCATCAAGAAACGTGTATGTCTCCTTTCGAACCCAGCAGGATATGTGGCTTTTGGGCCCGAAGAGTTCCCACAAGTCCCACTCAAGGTTCTAGATCAAAGAAACACGTTTGCCTTCACCTATGGAGAACTGAAAGCGCAAGGATTCCCAGCCAAGGCGTTTGTGGGACCCTCGTACGGAGACCTGCCATACTCGCTAGCGCCAGGCCAACCGGGTGTTCCCGTGTTTGAGGTCCACGCGAGAGTACTCAAAGGTGGTTTGCTATTATGCAACTACTGTCACCATTCGGTTACGGACGGCCTTGGGGTGGATCATTTGATGCGGACTTTTGCTGAGCTATCTCGACTTTCGACAGAGGATCTATCGGTTAAGAGACCGGTAGACGTTCATGTTGATATACCGCAGAAAGTCATTACTGACTTTAAGCCGGAACTTAAGTCTATGAGATATGAGCAGTTGCTGCGGTTGTGTCCAGAATATCGACAGTTGCGGTCACCTACAGGGCCGACCCAGTGTCTCATGAAGCCCGACGGGATTCCGTTGGCACAGATCCAGAAAATCGGTCAAACATTCGTCTTCAGCGTTAAGAAACTGGAGGCACTTCAAAAGGGAATCCTTTGCAGCAAGGGTGGATCATGTCGAAAACGTTCTCCATCCAAATTCACATGTCTTGCGGCGATTACCTGGGCACACGTTACAAAGGCTCGTCTATCTATGGCCAGGCGCCGGTCTCAGAGCTCTTCGGTGTCTTATCCTAAGAGGATTCGCATCATGCTCTGTATCAACTGGAGCCATCGCGCATTTGGTGACATCATGGGGCACGCTTCCGGCAACACAGTGGCACTCCCCGTCTCTTCTATTGATACCGCCACTATCCTTGCTGCGTGCAGCACCAACAGAGCAGAGTCATTCCAGGCGTTGAGTGCTATCTCTCACACTATCGAGTCGACTGTGAATAGTGTAGACGAGGATTTTGTGGCCCTACGAACAGCGATGTTCCGCGCAAGTCCTGATCCACGATATATCGGGATAGATCTTGATCCGCGGGACCCTTCAACATTTATCTTCAATACATGGCGACATTACGGCACCGAGGTACACAAATGGGGACTTCCAGGATTAGGCTACGATGGAGAGAATCAGGACGACAGCCAAACCGGGAGAGGTGCCTCTCCCGATGCCATTAGGAGATCTCAGTCAGAGTGGAATATGGGTGCCGGACTTATACTACCAGCAGGAAACGATCCTAACATCTTTGAAGTGTTAGTGACTTTGGCAATCGATGAGATGGTGGAATTATGCGCCGACCTGAGTTGGAGGCAGCTGGTGGACAGGGTATTAGAGTAAGAAACAGAAAAGTTTCTAATTATCAATGGCATGATGACATGATAGCGAATTAACGACCGTTCAATCTTTTCTCGCTCATCGTCATTTTGATCTCTCTATGACCCCCTTTTTGAAAATCACGAGATTGCCAAGAGGAGTGATATTCCATTCATGACAAGGTCTAGGACCGCAGCAGGGATACAGTGAATCAGAAGCCCTGACCGTTTTACGATCTTGCGCAGTTGTGAATTGGTACGTGCAGAAACAATCAACAGCAGTTGCTTGAGGCATTAATAGCCATTTCCACAACATGCTCAAGAAGCGGTGTGATCGAGTGAACTCGGAAGTATCGGACGATGCATCAGACCATTGCCGCATGAGTTGGAAGGTGAACTGGTCACTATCACACTTCAAAAGATTCGAGATGTAAGATATTATTTTAGGCGCAAGTCCAGCCGTTGATTAGCCTTGAAAATTAAATTTGGGGAGCTTGAGGCCAGTCACGATGCTTATTGTTCCGACCATGCGGCACGAGGTGGTGTTGTTGCGTTGACCTTGTTAGTCTTGGCTGCATGCAAGCAAAGTCATGGATGTGTGCCGACACACCGTCATCGAACGAGCTGACACGACAGTTTCCACAGGAGCGGTTCCATGTGGATCCCGTCAGAATTTTTGACTTCTTAATGCGTGTGATTTCATGTTCCGGGAGTAGAGTAGCATTGTGCGGAGCAGGAGGATCCCTCATCCCTGAGATGTGGGCATTCTGAATCCTACCCGAGAATGGCCTGGGATAACCGAAACAGTATTACTATTCCCCTAGTCCAAAACCATCAATTCCCTTCACCGGTTGCTTAATGCGTAAGGCCAAGTTGTGATGTTGTCACTTACTACTACCTACCTAATATCAAAGATATCTGGTGCCCCTCGATGGGAGCTTTGCAAAACCGATATCCGAGGAAATCTTGAATACCTCTTGGCATAACCGCTGACGTGATCATCTGGGTCTACCTACTGGTCTATTTGGACAGAGTGTAGAAGAAACACCCATTTACTTCTAAAGAGAACCCGACTGTCAAAATCAGTTTACCAGTCATCCGACTCTTGGTGTCTACCTAGTAATTAGAGTCTACAATCACCGATATGTTTCTTTTCTCTATTACAGGGCCTGATTTGATACATTTGAATTGTTGCTTCTCCCGTTTCTCAACCGCTGTGACCAGTCTTAGAGAAAACCAAAACTAGACTATTTGCTAAGCGAATTGTGTGGTTAACCATCGGAGCGGGTATCACGCCATTTCTTTATGTTGATTAGCGAGCCCTTTCCTTCAATCCAGCATCTTGGTTGGTACGTTGTGTGAGCACACACTGCATAATGTACAAGTTGGTTAAATTTTTCTCATATAATCCGATCCCGTACTGAACAATGTACCATTGTAACTCTCATGGCGACAGGGTCATCTGTAAAACAAAGTTTTCAAAACTTCTGGAGGGCCTCTGAGTTACATATTTTCCCCTAGAGTAGATGTGCTTGGCACAATTCATCTTAGAAATAGAATACCGTCCCGTGAGCCATTCTTCAGGAAAGTCCATGTGTGCATACCACGGTCATCGGAGATAATCCATTTCTCAAGATATTGCTAAGGCAACTCACCAATCAGATCTAACCACTTCATATGGTATTCTTGTCAGCCCAGAGGCCAAAGGTTCGATCTCTTGTAATCAGAGCCCCATTAGCCCTAGGTCAGAGCCCCACATTACATTATTCTACAGTTGCGAGGTTGATATTGGTACCAGCTCAAAAATACTTAGTCCTCGGGCTAGATTCAATGATACACTTGATTCGAACTATAAAGAGCGCAGGGCAGTTCCCCAAGGTACCTATACGGAAGAGAGCTTGAGTATAAATTTAAACAGCAATGGAAGATACTAGACCCGACAACTCAACACAATGAATAACTCAGGGTACCTATAACATACCAAAATGCATCGAGGTTTATGACAACAGGGCTATACCAAGATGAGGCCTTATAGCAGGTACGCATAGATCCATCACCAAACGGGCCGGCTTTTTACTCCCAACCTTTGGTAGTTAACTCATGGAAATAATTTGCATGCAAGGGTCGTATTGACAGGCAGGAGATTTTCTCGCCTGCGTAAGTTCGAAACCTTGCCTTCAGTACGTTGAGTATACGATAAGCTTAAACGTAGTACCAGAAGGTAACTTGCCGGCCCAATGGACAATTGATCTCGTGTTAAGATATACCAATTGCCGGAAACTTAGAGATATACCACCACTAGGACAAAGCCCATCCCGAAAATGATTTCAAATACACAGTTTAGTATTCCTCTGTAGAGAGTATATTCTTAAAGCAATACAGAAGCCACATGAGTGGCCTCTTGACTGTCCCCAGGGCATAGCTTCTTTTAATTGAGTTACAATAGCACTCTACCGCAAATATATGAACGTGGAAAAGGTTCCAGCGTGAGGTAATCAAGACATGATGTTTGGTTTTATCGATCGCAACAATCAAGGGGTATCCCAGATCAGGCCACATGTAGAATTATATCGCACGATTTATTCTAAAACATAAAATAAAAGAATACTCAGACCTTTAAAGGTCAATAACCAACACATATAGCCTCGGCATAGGCATCAACATCTGAAACTCTATTAAGGGCTACCTATCTAGACGTATAACTTATATGTAGCCCCCAGAGGGAGAGCTTATAACCACACTACACCTCTATTCAAGCGACAATATCAGCATCTTAACATTATTATCCTTACCACCCAGGGCCTAGTCAGGGCAAATAACTTGATCCTTGAAATAATACTAATATTCATTAAAGACCAACCAAAAGAGTTCTATTCCAAGCCCATCTAATACAGAAGCCTCCGACTAGTCAGGGGGCTTCTCACGGCGACGAAGCCTCTCAACAACAAGCCACATGCATAAGCCACGACTACTAGGTCTATCCCTCTATTTCAAAACTAGCCAGGGTATATCAAGAGATCGCCCGGCTAGCAAGTCCCAGTCATCCAGAGCACCCCTCAAGGACAAGTAATAGACAAAATATAATCATCAAAGGATTCAACAGCTTCTTTTTTTCATTTCTTCCATCTGGATGCATTAGTTCACCAATACCAGTCACATGTCGTATAAGTAATTTGAGCGAAGACACTATTCATAGGTCTTGAGCCGCGGTTGAAAATAATTGCTGCATGCTTAAAAGGAACAACTCAATCTCTATCTTCCCCAGGAAATGAGAGACACGTCAATGATTCAAATCACGGACAGAAACACCACGTTGGTGTTGTTGCGCTGAAGACAGGGCATGGCGCAATGCTAAAAGTCGTCGGGTTCAGTGAAAGACTAACATTAAGATAAAACATAAAGTAGGGGATCTATGCATAAACCACATTAACCTATACGTTAGCTTCATTATCGAAATTTGAAGGAGTAAGCATACTGACCTTGTGCCCTGCCAACTGCCGATCTACGCGGAAGCAGTCTACTGGGAACCCGCAATTTAGGGCGCCTCGAGGGCCTACAGCAGATCTCTCAGCTGGTCCGGTCGACCACAGCGGGGCTAGTGGGCTCACGATCTTTCTCGGATTTCTTTGCATGCGTTTGCCGTATCCGATGTGTGGGGTGTTCGGGGCAAGTAAAACAGAGGGAAATTGCAGGCAGAAAGGCGCCAAAGCGGTCATGATTCAGTTGCTAGCGCTCGAACTCACAGCTCGTTTGGAAGCCTAGAACTTGACCGACTCTCTCACGCAGTTTGACGAAATTGGTAGCGATCGGCAGACGGTACGCTCCTCGATTCAGGCTCAACTGAGCTACTGCAAGCGCAGTCATTTTAGGCCGTAATATATTGACCTTGTACCGTATGTAAATGCAGCCGAGTTCAGGCACAATCGAATCATGGGAGTCAGCCAATATTGGATTTGGGCCCTAAAACGGCTAATCAACATGAGACAGGCAGACATATCACATCAGCTGAGGCCCAACGGCAGGGAGGGGCTGAAAGAGAGTGCAGCTTTGCAGCTCGTTTTGGCCACTGCGGCAGGAAATCAAATTATGGCAAGCCCGTAAGCTCGATGCATCCAAGACAACTGCAGGAACATGAGCTAACGGCTGGGATCTCGGGACTTTTTCCAGCTTCCTCATAGCTCGGGCCTCTCCTGAGCTCGTATCTGCAGGGATCGTCCGTTCTCAGGCCCTAAGTACCGAGCCAAGAAACGGCCTGTATGGTTCCACGAGGGGCCGCGAGAGGCCGAGCTAACACAAGTGGCTGCTTAGTGCAGTCGAAACGGGAAGAGATTGATGGGGATCGAGCACACGGCTCGATACATGATCCTAGTTCCAGTGCATTGCATTCCAGGCGGGGATCACATTGCAGACAGTCGGCGCATATACGAGAAAAGGGCAGCATCCCATTGGCTCTGTGCCTGGGCCGTCACCGTCAGCCGCAGCGGATGTGGGTCGTAGTGCGGAATAATGGTCTTGCTTCGTAGGTAATATATTGAGAGAAAAACGGCCGAATGAAACATCGATGCGTCCACGGGGCTGCAGCTACCGGCGTGAGCTGAATTGCCATTTGGTTCGTTGAGGTATAAGATAACCCTTCAGGACTTACTTGTCTGGCTTACCGGCTGCTCACCTCACCATCTCAGATCAGTCGAACATCAAACGATCACCATGAGGTCCTTGCTGCTTGCCGTACTTGCGACACCCATTCTGGGAAGTCCTGTCGTGGAAACCCTGAATGCCCAGGTCAAAGAGCAGCCCAGACAAGTCAATGGAACTGTCGAGTACAGTACCATGTGCAAGTCCTGCCCTTATGATCTTTGTCCAAACGTCAACATTCCCTGGGGTGGCGACATCGTAACCCTGACCTGCTGGGCTGAGTGAGTTTCAAGATCAGTGAAGTGTATAGGCTTTGGCGAAGACTAACTTAGGATGCAGGGGTGACACTGTCGGAGACACTAAACTCTGGTGTATGTGATTTCCCTTCTCTAGCTTTAGTGTCATGCTAATGCGATGCATAGTAAAGACAACTGAGAACTGTTATATTTCCGAGTATGACCTTGTCGAGTACCAGGGAGACTGTAAGTTGTGCCCTTCCCTGTGCCTAAGCAAGCCAATCGACACTAACCGCACCACCTGATGTAGTCAGGACTGATCTGAAGACCTGCGGAAAGGTCCCACTGAAGATCACCAAACAGCCTGCTAAGGTCAGGTACCTCTCTGAATGCAAATGGGGCTACTCTACTTCAGACGAGTCGATGAAATTCTATGGGCGAGATCTTGATGTCACACTCACCTGCTGGACTGAGGGTGGAGAAGTTTTGAACAATCCGTAAGTCTGGGCAAGCGTCAATGCCTCATGAAACTCAATGGCTAACATTCGATTGATAGTTACTGGTACAAGGTAATCATAACTGGACCGCTTTAATAATTGATGTGAAACTGATACATACACTACAGACCACTGATAACTGCCACGTTTCCGGCTCTGGCCTCTGGGCCACACCTAGTATGTCCAAGGAATCCACAAGTTTCATTGAGCAAGCATAGCTAACACACAACAGGCCGCGAAAAGCTGGACAATTGCGGACCTGAGCCTGGCCCACGCATTAATGAGACAAAGCGGTCAATCGACGATGAAGGAGCCCGCCCTGTTGAGCTCCCTTCTCGCGAAGATGACGAGGAAGAAGTAGAGATCGTGGAAGACGATGAGCCAAGCTTACTCCGCCGTTGGCTCCAGCCGGAGCAAATTGGTGAGGAGTACGCACCTTGCTACAAGTGTCCCACTGCCACCACAAGCTCTTCTTGCCCTCGCGTGAAGAGATACGAGTACAACAACACCGTTGTGAGCCAGTGCCTGACCAGTGAGGACGTCACATACCCCAATGGATCATTCTCCTCAACCTACTGGCTGGTGAGTCCCCCTTCCTTATATAACTACTTGGCGTGTATTAATTATTTACTTTAGCTGACCACTGACTGGTGCTACGTGAATGGAAATGATTTCTGGGTCCCACCTTGGGATAACTACCGCTACCCTCGGTGCTCAAACTGGGCTGGGTATCCTTAAGTGCCTTATATATCGATGGTGATGAGCCAGTTTCAGCATGTATTGCGAGGGCTTATTGGATAGCACAGGGTCCAGTACTCGATATCGAGATTCAAATTATGCTCGACGATTGTTTCCTTTTGCTCATGTGAACATGGCGTAAGAACTAATGTTGAAGGCCTCAAGATTCTGTCGTATTCAGTCTCGATGAACCACCCACAAAGAGGCTTCTGTTCAGTCATTCCTTTTAGTCCAGGGGCTCAGTGCCTGTACAACACCCTCATACAACTTTCGTTCACCAGAGCTCTCCAAAAGTCCATCCCAGACGTCATCGCCCATACCCTTGTAAAAAAGCAACCAGCCACCCAAAATAAAGTCTGCATAGCTCACTTCCTCGCCCAAAATGTATGGTCCCTCGTTTTTCTTAACAAGATCATTCAGCTCTCCAAAAATAGGAGCAAGCTTCTTGAATACCAGGCTTTGGGGGTTTTCTTTTTCGAATTGTTCAAGAGACATACCGAGGCGCTCGGATCTCGTCCTATGGAAATATTCTTTGCTGATCTCACTCAAATACACCTTTGGAACTCTAGTTTTGTAGACTGGCTCCAAGATAACATCCAGCTTATCAAGTGCATCAAGGAGCGGCTGTTGGAGAGGGTTGCCTAGGTGAAGATTTGGTGTTGGATGGCTTCTCTCAATGGCCTCGGCAATGACGTAAGAGTCCATGAGGTACTTTCCATCCGGCAATTCAAGAGCTGGACTGCTGAATTTGTGTCCAATGATATTTGGGGCAACACTGCAGAATGTCAGAATGAATGATATACATATCTACTGGGGCCCTCTTACAATGGCTCCAGTCTTGCCTGGAGATGTGGGTATTCAACCTATTCTCAAGAGTGGTCAATTTTCTTCTCGCTACCTGGCATACGAACCTCCATGGCCTTACCCATTCCGTCTGGTAATTGATCGATTTATAGTTGAGAAGCATTCGAGCTTATGAGTGTGATTAGTATGCGTGTCTCTCTAGAGATGGAGGTGATACCTGCTGCGTACTTTTCCATGGATTCAACGACCAGCACTTTCGCGGTTCCTTGGTCGGAATATCGATTAGGGTGAATGTACCTGAAACCATCGTAAAAGCTTTGGTATTAAGAGATGACAGATTCTGGACGGCTTTATGTGTCTCTAAGAGCAATATATCAAGGCCGGGTGTAGATTCCAGGGCGTAGTGACTCATGGTTGATTTCCAAGCAGCCCCTCACTTTGACCCACAGCCGGAGCCAGCCCCTCGCGATCGATGACATGCCAGCGGCGGCCAATCGGTTGAGGTTCTTGGGGAATACTTTCTCAATACAACAATGGCTGGAGAAGGAGCTGGTACCCTTCTCAGGGATGAAGTCCACCGATGGGAGAAGACACTCAAGAGCATAACTGCTGTTGCTGCTACTCAAGAGCATAACTGCTGTTGCTGCTGCTCAAGCAAAATCTCTGGGAATTTCAATCAAGGCTATGATTATGTATATTATCTTGGATGCTATTAAACAACTGTGTACTGTCGAAAGGAAATAACATCCATCTCGAGCGCGATACACTCAACCGGCATAATTATGTCCCCACCATCCGCGACAAGCCAGGATTCGGACCAAGTAACAAAAATATTTCCAGTTTCCTTCCTCTTTCGTTTATCAGAGACTTTCCCGGGGGGCTCCAGCAAATCGACTATTCAAATGAATGCTTGCCATTTGAGAGAGGTGACGGGTGCCAACTCTAATCCAACAGTCAATTGACAACAGATGTCATGTCAACTTCGATTTCGAACATGGAAATGCCTAGCTTGGATGAAGCATGCTCCATATCTTACTTCTTGGCTGCTTGGGCCATGGCCTTATTGAATGGGACTACGCTCTCGATAAGCGCATCCTGAGAGTTTATTAGTAGCACGGTCAAGGACGTGATATGTTCCCACTTACCATAACTGATTGGGGGAAGCAATAATAGCCGAGCTTGCCCATTTCAGCAGAAGTACCAACCCAGATCGTCCCGGATGTTCCCTTCTCAACTTCTCGGATTACTCGTGCTGCATAATTCCGAGGTGTGACTGCGCCTGGCTGGCGCAACAGCCCTGGAACGCCTTCCACGAAATCTTTGATTCCATAATAATGAGAAGTCTCGGGGATTTTGACTTCAGACACTGTCGGGGTACTTGAAGAGCCCACAGAGGATGTGGCCAGTGTGATGGTCCGGACTCCGAGGGGCTTAAGCTCACGGCGCCAAGTATCACTTGCCGAGATCAAGGCAGCCTTCGAACCATTATACACACCTTCGATATGTTAGGCGACTCGTTGGAGATGTGCTGATTTGAGACTTACTCATGAGTGCCATGGGGAGATAGGCGCTACAGGATGCATTGTTGACAAGGCAACCTTTGGCCTCGATCAGTAGTGGGGAGAAAGCTTGGAGCATAGCGAGCGGAGCCCAGAAATTAAGATCGAAAACTTTCTTGCCTTCCTCAATCGAGACGTCTAATGCAGGCGCGATGGCTGCTTGGCCACTGTTGTTGATGAGAACGTCCAGCGTACCGCCGGTTTTCTGCTTGACGCTGTCGACGGCAGCGGCAATGGACTCTGACTTCAAGACGTCCAGTTCCAAAACAGTGACGTTGGATGCGTTTGCTAGGCCCTGGGAAATCTTTGACGTGGTGCGGGCTGTCGCAAAGACGTGGTATCCTTTCTCGCAGAATCCTTCAGCTAGGCCTGCACCGATGCCACCAGCAGAGCAGCCGGTGATCAGGACAGACTTTCGACGGGGAGCCATTTTGATAAAGCTGATTGTATGTGAAATCCCAAAAGATATTGTAATTTAGTGTGATGAATAGCTTGAAGAAAGGCCTGGAAAAGACATCCTTTTATCTTTAACGACTCTTTAGTAGAGAGCAACTCTCCTGCTATGCATTGTACATGATGCTTCGTCCCGCCAGCCGATTGCCCCTTGCAAACTCCGCCGCTATACCACAAACAGCAACCAAAAGATGGTCTTGGCATTCGGGGTTGATCCACATGGCTTCAATTTTTGGAGCCGGACGGATGACATGATGCTCATCTCTCTCTGGCCCCACGCCGGCTGACCCATTCATAAAGACTGTTCTTCCTCCTTTTACCAAGTCTGGCAAGCAAACCAAAAGCCAAGACCGAGCATGGAACGACTCAACGCCGGGCGGAAGAGCCGCCAGCCATCGAAAGTGGCCGAGATGCCCTTCATTGTATCCCGGGATCTTGAAAAGGCCGACGCTACCACCAGAAAGCTCATCCGCAGCCATGTGATGCAGGGGAAGAAGAAGAGGGTCCGTCCTCGCAAGAGCATGCAGGTGCAGGCCGTTGTGATGCAGTCTATACCGAAGGCGGAATCTGAAGCAACGCTGGCGGAGGAAATGAGGCATCGGTACACGACATCTATGCCGAGACGCGTTGGGTCAGACCTCTCCTTCATTGACTTTGCTGATGACATAGAGCTGTCAATGCTTCTCAACATGATGAAAAGTACGTACACAATACCCTTGATGTCTAAATTTCGGATATGGCTGATCTTGTTCAGTCGCTGATGTCGCATTGGGCATCATCTTCCCCCTGTTGAACGTAGTCGGAATCCGCGTGGATCAGGAAAAGCGGCTGTACCCGATACAAGGTGACGCCGCTGCCCTTCACATCTCCGTCTACGCCGTTGAAGATTTTATGAACAAAGTATTACGGTATAATCACGGTTCTAGTTATAATGCGATGATTCATTACCATAAAGGATTACGGATTCTTCGGGAGCGGCTCCTGGGTGACGATGAAGAAGCAAAGATAGCCGACTCTACACTTGGCGCGATATTGAAGCTTGCAAGTGCCGCGCAATTCTGCGGAGACACACAGACAGCTGTCCAGCATATGAGGGGCGTCTACCGGATTATAGATATCAGGGGTGGTTTGAATGTCTTTGACGGGACGGAAATCCAGTTCGAGACGTGCAGGTAATTCATGAAGCTAGAGTTATAAAGGCTACAAACTAACTTGCCATAGATATGACCTGAGCATTGCTCTACTAAGTGGGTTGAAGCCCTTCTTTTTCACTTCGGAGGAATCATTCATTCCGTATCCCGAAGAGCTTCTAATACTAGATGACGAACACAACGACTCCCCGGGGCACACGAGCTTTCTGTGCCATGTTCACAATGATCTAGCAGTGGCCTGGCGCGTGTTGAGGAGATTTTGCTCGCTAGGTAATCTTGGAGTACACACCCGCCGTCGGATGCGTCCTCGTTTGATCCTTGATACAATGAATTCAGTCATGTACCGCCTCCTTCACATGGAGTTTGCTGCCGATTCAACTGATGAGTCTATACGGCTGGGTTTATTGACATTTTCCCATCACGTCTTTCTCCAGTGGCATGACATTCGGCCAGTCGATTCTTACTTTACCCACACCTACCGTACCCGACTTCTACAGTCAGACTTTTACAAAAGATTGCCATCGCATCTAATTCTTTGGTTTCTGATGATCGCAGCGATCTCAATCTTCGACGTATCTGCAGAGATGTGGCTTGAAGATGCCCTACGGAAATATATTGAAAAGACTGGTCTAAGAAAATGGAAGGATGTGCAAGAAATGATGAATTCAGTCATGTGGGTTGCCGCGCTCGATGAGCAACCAGCAAGACGCATTTTCAACTCAATCCGGCCAACGAGGCCTAAAGGTTGGCCAGTTCAGTCGCACTCAGGCGATCTTCTGGCACGGGTCAGCCCAGACAATCATTGTGTCTAGCATCGATTTCACACAATCAGTTGATTGGAAGGGCTTCAGAGATGCACGAAAGGTCGAGAGAATCCCCCCCATATTAGGATCACAGTCTAATATCAACAAAGAAGGAAATGGTTACTTCAAGCTGAAGGAGAACACCGATGCAGGGAAAGCAGATGAACCTAGTTCTTTATCGACGTACCATCTGCCCATATTTTCGTCAGTATCGCTGGTTCGACCATGATGACTATCAGCCAACACTTTTTGCCATGCCATAAGTTCCCATGATCGCCAATGGACCCCCATAACAGGCAGTCAGTCCTTTGGCGGGGAAGCTCCACAGGCCGGCTAATTTCTTCCTTCAAGGCCATGGTATCACATGTGACGGAATCGCAAATATTCTGGACTATGCTCAGAAATCGCATCAAGTTCTCAAGGCAACCGTTTGCGAGACTACCGTAGAAAAGGCAAACACCGGTCTACTTGGCCATGGTGCTGCCTAAGTGACTATTTCAAGGATGGTAGCCGCCAGGGCGCCATGACCTGATGCGTTATTGGAATGTGATAACTGACAGATATTAAATATATTTCGCCCCAGCGGCTGTAAATTCTCGGTCGGATTTTCGGCTGTTGGTGCACCATCTCGCCCAATCTCGCTTCCTTGCAATGGCAACTCGCATCACTCCAGTCTTCTTCCAGTAAACAGTAAACGCAGCTGAGTCCGCTAGTTTAGTTTACTCTTAGCCTGCCGAGGCGTATTACACCGTATCCCCGCCCCATTGTTCTCTATTAGAGTTCCATGTGGGCGACCGCAAATGAACGGAGACTGCTAAGACATTGAACTCAACACAGATATCCTTCTTCTCTCTTCTGTTTCTCCTTGCTCAATTCATTTAATCTACACGTACAGTCACTATACAGACAATCTCTCCCCGCCATGCGAACTTCGGCCATCCCCATTGCCATCCTCGGAGCAGCCGCGGCGGCAAATGCCTCAACAGCCGTCGGATGCTCCGGCGGCCTACAAATTCTTCTTGCCCGCGGCACAGGAGAGAAACTCAACAGCAGCATAGCCAACCGAGTCGCAGAGGGCATCATAGACCGCATCCCAAATTCCAACTTCACCTCCTTGGACTACCCGGCTACCTTCACGAACCCCCCTTACAAATCCTCTGTTGATGATGGAGTCAATATTCTGAAGAATGCACTCGACAACTATCATTCCACCTGCCCAGATGGCAAGATTGCGGTCATTGGATATTCACAGGCAAGAAACCGACAGCTGAACTGTATGACAGGGACTATGGGGGCAGTGCTGACCCCATTCGATATTTTAGGGTGCTCAAGTGTCCACTTACGCATTTTGCGGGGGAAATGGGACAAATAGTGCCAGCACCGAGCTGACCAAGAATGGTTCGCTCCCCGAGATTTCCTCCGCCAAACTACTCCGTCTTTGAATTAGACGGCTAACTACTTCTCAAACTACCAGTGGTTGCGATCCTCGAATTCGGCAACCCAACCCATGTCGCCAATGCGACCTACAATCGGGGAAACAGCACAAGAGACGGCGTAGGTGCACCCAGCGCTGGTTTGACGCTTCTAGATGCAGCTGCTAACGCCTAACTCCACAGATATTTGCCCTGGACGGAGACTCGGTGAAGAGATGCGAAAGCCTCGGTGACAGTCTGAGATCTTACTGCGATACAGGCGATACCTACTGTGACCTTGGCAATGTTACAGGCGTCCACACCAGCTACTTCAAAAGATACACCGACGAAACGGTCGACTTTGTCGTCAGCCGCTACCAAAACGCAGGCGACCAAAGTTCTGCCACGACATCGCCTACAGGCTCGACCACGACTGGTGTGGGTGGCTCAGCCTCGGCAACAGGCGATGCTGGCAATAGTGCGCCCTGGCTAGGGCCGGGGAATGGCTTGCTTTACACAGCCCCTTTAGCTGTATGGGCCATTGTTCAGCTGCTCTAAATCAGTATAGCGCCGGTTATCTTGAAGCAGACATCACATTGTTGACATTCTGAATTTATCTCTTCACCATGCCATATATAGTAGTCAAAGCCGTTTTACCTCGGATCAAGGAACGAGAGACATTCATTCTTATCAAAGCCCTTGAGTGCTCATTCAGGCAGGAACTTTACAAACCAGTCTTGAAACTTCGCAGTATGGTGTACACTAGATTCCTTGATTCTAGAGTGGGAAAAGGGCATTGGATATTCTAAGAATCTCTGCACTTGTCCATATTAGCATGTAAATAAAGAGAACGATGACGGGGGTTGTCACGATAACACAGAGGCAAGTCAAATGGGGTAAATCATCATTACTCAGTCCGGGAGCCGTACCATAGTATGCCATAAAGCTTCCCAAATTAGCCAGCGTTTCCATGGTAGCCAAGAGTATCGAATCTCTGCCAATTCAACACTTTTTGTTCGAAAACTCCGTTTTTTTTTTAAAAAAAAAAATCTTCTATAAGATATTTATGGAAGGTCCAAGGACTCCTAGAACAATGTAAAGTTTCGTTACGTGAACAGAATAGGCAGCACTATAGAAGAATTGTTACATTTTCATTAAGATAATACGGGTGAGAGGTTTGAGTACGAAGTAATAATAGCAATGGAAGATGCCAGGGCCGACATCTCAGCACAATGAATACGAAAGGCAAAAATAAGCTCTGCCAGCCTAAGGCTACAGCCCCAAAAGGAAAGCTCTGCAAACCTTCATTGAACACTAATTTTAGCCCCTCTTATATAGAGCCTCTATATCCTAATGTAAGTGGAAAGATAATTCGTTTTTCTCTTCCTTGGACTACACAATCGTGTTGAAGTAAAGAGCTACACGGCAGGAGCAAGACCCATCTCTTCATCGTAAATTCTACATCCTGACTTTAACGAAGGACTTTATCATTTTTGGAGATGCAGGAATCCTCAAGATTTGGATGGGGCAAATGTCGGGCAATTCACATTCCTGGCAACACGGGGTATTCAACTACTTCCGCTTGATTCGCTTGACCGTCCTTCCCGATTTCTTTTTAGCCATGAGCTAATAAGACAAAACTCACAGCCGCGTAAATATAAACATGAAAATAGGGCTAGTATCTCTATTAGTGTTATTTCAGTTTGATATATCACTAATTGTCGCCTGCGGGCGCTTCATTCCGCCACCATCCACTTACAATGTAGCTATCAAATGATAGGTTGAATTACGAATTCTTCTTAAGTTGGCATGAGTTTATCCGTTGAGAATTCATGTAACTGTAGACTCAATACTCGTAACGTTTCAGCGCTGCTAAACATAGTTCTTAGCCTAGGTATCTGAAACGTAGCACGCGGGGCATCTTCACCAATCTACATGTGGTATGCATCCACGTGAAGGAAGAGGCAGCCCAACTTCCCCCGAATAGGAATTGAACGGCGCCCCAAGTACACCAACTCTACGGTTGGACAGCATGATATATGAGGAATCTGTAGGTCAAGTACATCGAGCTTTGTAGGCCAAGCTGTCACGTGCGTTGAGTTGGAAGAATAAAACCCCAACCATATCCCAATCCTAGTCCATTGCCTTCCTCTTCCATAGCCTATCAACTGAGCTTCCAAGAAAACAGTATGTCTAGTCCTGTAACACGATACATCAGACTATAACTCATGAGCCTCCTTGAATCCATATTTCACTACGATAACTAACATAAGGCAGTAATCGTTGAAGAGATGAACCAACGATGAAGACAAGAAACCATCATGAATCAACTGCGAGAGTTCGTCATAAGCTTCCACCTAATCGGGGCATTTGTGTGAGTAGTCTGCAAAAGGATTTGCTAGTCTAAAACACATATTGACTTCTTCACATTAATCACAGCTCATATTCACAACAGAAAGGATCACAAAGCGGTATTGATGGGAAAGCTAAATTTTGAGCAATACTCTATATATGGCTAAGACCTTTGGGAGCTCTTCAAAACAGGACCAAGGCTCGAAAGGATTTACTTCCCATTTTCCATAGTTTCTTCAATTTCGTTAAATAGTGAACCCGAGAACAAGGTCAAGGGGCACATGAGTTTCATTGCAACATTCAATGATTCGTCAAAAAATATCCCTAGAAGAAGGATATTTACACAAGGTGGGCGAGAACGTTGGGGGTTCCGCTGGGGACGCTGGTGATCCTGCCGGTGAGGCCGGTGCTGACGATGTAGGAGCACAGGCCGGAGGCGGTGGCGCGGCCGAGACCGAGGTAGTAGGCACCGAGGCCGGCGACGTGGGGGGAGGCCATGGAGGTACCAGAGAGGGTGGCGGTGCCGCCGTTGTTGTAGGCAGAGAGGACGGAAGAGCCGGGGGCGAGGATGTCGACGATGCTGCCGTAGTTGGAGTAGCTGGCGAGGCCGTCGCTGGAGGTGGTGGCGCCGACGGTGCAGGCGCTGGCGGCGGAGGCGGGGGAGTAGTTGGCAGCGTTGGCGGCAGAGTTACCGGCGGCGACGGCGAGGAAGTAGCCGGCGGAGACGATGTTGTTGGCGGCGGTGTTGAGGGAGGCGGAGTAGCCACCACCGAGGGACATGTTGACGACGACACCCTTGGGGCAGCTGTAGGTGCTGGCGCTGTTGGTGACATAGTTCATGCCAGCAATGACACCGGAGCTAAAGAGCCATCATTGTCAGCGGCTGGATTCAAGGAGGGTTGGTGGGATAAAGGGGACATACGTGGTACCGGAGCCACCAGAGTCGAGGACCTTGACAGCGTAGAGCTTGGTCTTCTTGGCAACACCATAGGTGGTTCCACCGACGGTTCCGGCAACGTGGGTGCCGTGGCCATTGCCATCGGTGCTGCTGCTGTCAACGTAGTTGGCGGCGAAGGAGGCACGGCCACCGAAGTCCTGAAGAAAGGAGGTTAGCATATTGGGATCAGTGACCTTGAGTAGTGTGATGGGGGATCTTACGGTGTGGGAGGTGTAGATGCCGGTGTCAATGATGAAGGCGCAGGTGCCGTCACCAGCAGAGTCATCGTAGGTGTAGGTGGTGGAACCAGTGTTGGTGTTGGAGAGACGGGCAATACCCCATGGAGCTCCGGTCTGGGTGGCGGAGATGGATACGATGGCATCCTGCTCAACGTACTCGACCTCGGGGCTCTCACGGAGGGCCTGGACCTCAGCCTCAGTCAGGGCACCAGCCTGTGTGATAAATTGTTAGTAATCTGCATGTTTCTAGTTTGGCTAACCAAGCAAGTGGAAGTTCTTACGAAACCCTGGAAGCCACCCTCGTACTCAAAGTCGGGCTTGGCTTCAATGGAGGAGATGGTGGAGGAGATGGAAACAACACCCTCCTTGAGCTTGACAATGTACTTTCCGGGGATGACCTCGACGTCGCGGGGGACGTGGAGAGGAGCGACTTCCTCGCGCTTGGCTGGTGCCGCGGCAACCAGAGGCAGGATGGAGAGGAGAGCAGAAACGCGCATGTTGACGGTTTGTTGCTTGGTGAAGTACACAAAAGATGATTAATTCAGATGGCCCACAAGAGTGACTTTGAGAAGGTCTCGATTGCTGGTGAGGAGAAGGAAAGAAAACAACGAGATGGAGAGGAGGACGGGTAGTCTTTATAGTTGAGGATCGTGAGGTCTTTGTTGTCCCGTCTATCATGTAATCCTCGCGAACGTCCTCACCTTCCCTTTTCCCTTGTCAACTCGCGTGCAGTCATGTTCGTATCTTGGTTGCAATCAACCAAATACGGCAGGCTGCTGGACGCAGGGCTGCTGCATACTGACAGGTCCTACGTTGACAAAGGGTCCTCCTCCCTAAAGAAGCTTGGACCAATGGATTGATATTGGTCAAGATATTGACCAGACAGTCATATACGACAAACCCACAGATACGGGCTGTATAATCCGGTTTTTGGCTAGTAAGAACGACTGTTTTGCCACTGGGCTCTAGAATAATGGTACTGTGAGTGCCGATCAGCGATTTCTGATAAGAGATCTATCTCGTGTAGGTTCGTTGGTATCCCGCGTTGTTACTACCAAACACCACTTCGAATCAACTCGGGTGTCACACTACCAGAGACCAAAAGCTTAAGCATGGCTAGTCGGCAAATTCACCCGTGACTTCCCCTTGTTCAGCATAGGTAGTTTCGTGTTTGGCTTTGGGGGCCAGGTCCAGGCCAGGCCCCTCCCCTGCGGGATTGTCTGAGAGAATGGAACGTCATGATAACACCCTGACGGCGCACATGATAAGATGCTCCTGGGTTGGGTTAACACTCGAGATATGAATCGATTAGCCAACAGAAATGCTTGACTCCAAACTAGAAAAGAGACCTCTTGGACCATTTGTCAAGACGCGGGGTCCAAATAGGAAGTTAGAAGCAGCTGGAAAACGAGAAAGGGGACAATAGTGCCATATGTCACCTTCCCATCTTCCGACCGGGGGTCTGCCAATGATTTCCCCCGATCTAATGGGGAACCCCGGGACGGGAAATTGATCACCATAGGCAGCTAGTTGGCTGTCAAGAAGGATCTCGGCACATTGGGGCACACTCAATAGTCCAGCTGGGAAAGGGTGGCTATACGCCGTGGGAGGTCCATGGTTATCATTGGCCGGAGACGCATGTAACCCTATAATCGAAAGCACTCTTGGCCGGCACCTGAGGTTGCATCCTGCCAGGCCAGCTTTCCCTGTGGAGTGATTTTTCCAGTTCCGAGGGAGTAAGCTTCTCGTGACTGCCCCAGACTCGAGTCCCGGAGTTGATTAGTGAGAGTCACAATGCCGTGCGACGTGTGCCACCTCTCCCCCTCTATTCTCCCTCTGTGTGGGCACTAATCACGGAGAGGGTGTGCGCCAATGCTTCAGCCGTAGGAGCGACATCCGTACGGGTGGTTTACATGCAGTCAGAGTACTTCACACCGGAATGTCAAGTAGAATTGTCACGGCATGTTCCGTTCATCCCGCTCTATCAATGCATTGGATGCAGTACCACCCAGCCTCAACGGGCTGGGGAGAGGCTGAAGCTGGAGACGAGACTTACTTAGGCAGATCTCTGCAGGTAATACGCCCAACGGCTCAATCCGTACACGAATGCCTTGCTCCCCGCCTACATCGCGAGGCGAGTGACATCACATCACAGACCCCTTGCCAGCTGCCCGATTGAACAGGGGTCCATGGTATTTGGGTGCCAAAGTTCCTCAATGGTGAGCACCAAAATGGACGCAGCGAGTCAAACCTCTCCCAACAAGGTAGCAATCAAGGAACGCAGCTTCTATTCGACCGCCGCTGCAACACTGGCCCGGCAGCAAAGTTGTGGCTTGCGGGATGACAGCTTCTCCGCAGGGGAACACGGCAAAGAGTTGAGCGTATAGGCCCAGTACCTTGATGAGCATGACACCCTCTCTGGCCCAGGCTGGTCTGGCAGGTCCCACCGATCGACACAACGCTGGACTTTTGAGCCATAACAGCTTTTAGCTATCGGCACTATTGCAACCTTATTAAAGAAGGTTCCATTGACGTCTGGCTATCCCACTCATCTCGTGCTGCCAAAGCTACTGATCTAGGGAACTTCAGTTGTCTGAACGGTTCTTGATCAAGCCCGGCCATCCGAACAACGCGAAATGGGCAGATCAGAACGTTTTAGGCATATTTCCCTTCAAGCGAACGCATTAAATTGTGGGATGCGTAAGTAAACAGGGCAACTCGTCTGTACCAGGTATGCGGGGAGGAGTAAGCCAAGAGATAGACGGCGTAACTGAATGCTACCTAGGCTAGCTATTGGCCATGATGAAGAGAGTCTTACGGCGTGCCCAGCGGTTCGTTTGGTAGCATCAACAACAACAAAAGTCATCCTTCTTCCCAAAAAAGCCCGTATCCCTGGCCGCTGTTGTTCATGCAGATCCCTGATCGGTCTGCATTAGCCGCGCGACCCTGGGATGAATACTAGATTTTGATTATTATTCTTAGCATATCAGATCAATAGTCACGAGTCCCTGAGAACGAGCCTATTTTGGCCATTTTCTTTGGATCAAGCGCCTACCGGGACCGGCCATTACCGACTCCGGCAGGAGAAGGCCCGGGGAGCAAATCAGAATTAACATCGCTCAGCCCGGGTCCGGCGCCGAAGAGGTCCATCGTTTATTACTATGTAATGACAATGTATTTTAGAGCCAAAGGAGTGGAGTGAGTGGTTACGCTCAGTAGCAGTCGGATCATGCCGGGGGCATATTACAATGGTGCTCCCTGAAGGTTTTGAATGAATGTAGATGGATCAGCGGATATGAAGTGGGTGATGGGAATGCATTGCCATCCGAACTGATTCCCTTGCCAGCTTACATCGATGTTGTTGAGGAGATGCCTCTTTCAGAGTGTTCTGCCTCGCGCATGGAAGCGGCGTTGCATCGCTTGCATTTCGAGTCCAAAGCCGTCGTACTGCGTCATGCTTATCAAACCCACGGATATGTGCGCTCGGATATGCGTACTCTTGTGTTGCTGTTCGCAGCGAGCACAGGTGACGTGGTCTCCTCTCAGCTGGTCCAGCGATGCATTCAGATGCACTATAGCGGAGCGCAGTGCAGCCTTACAGGATATCAGAGACAGCGCTTGCTTGGCGGCTCTGAGTTGAAACGGGACCTTCCTAATATGAGCAGCTCCCCATCTGCCATGAGTCAGGTTGCAAAGGTCCCCAGCGAGGGATCCATCCGTCGTTATATGCGCTACTACGACATCATAATCTGCAGTAGACATGCTCGAGTGACCGACTTGCCTTGTTTAAAGCGAGCACTCGCCATCTTATCGCTCTATGGCGCAAGAAGCTTGTTCAGGGAAAACAAGCCAGGCACAGGCTTGGCAGTCTGTGACATGACAGAACCCCAGACAATGAGGGGGTCGTATCGTACCACGGCCAACACCACGAATCAGGGTGTTGAAAGGGGTGGGGGCAAGAGGCACTCTTTGCACCCAAAAGGTTAGGTCTCCTTTGATGGCCGGGGCCAGTTCAAGATGGGCAGCACGATGAGGATGGTGAATATGGGAGGTGACGCGTAATCTTGAGCCCTCATCTTAGATCCTTCTACGCTCACATCACAAGCCATTGGACCCCGCGGGAGGCGATAGCTAAGACCTTCCCTCGGACTATTTATACACAGAGAGTTCTTGGCCTTTATGTGTCGCAGGCTCAGGTTTGAGGCAAAAGGGCAGAAAGGGGCTCAATCGTAGGGTAGGCAGAAGAATGGTCACATTCGGGATGGGCTCGGCTTGTTTGGTTGCGTGCTGCCCGACTTCCGCCAACCGAGCCGGAATCCTGATGTGAGGGGAGGGCATGTAGAAGGATTGGTTCATGAGATCCCTCCGGTGCATGAGAGGATATCGTGAGACCAGAGCAGTCGGAGGTCGTTGCAAACCTCCAAGTCTATCCCTGGGAGCTTTTCTGGGAGGAATGCGCTAATTTATTATGGACTGGCCAAATACCGAGCCTTGGGCAATATAAGCTCACTTGGCTTTCTCATCTTCCTCCCCGATTCTTCTTAGCCTTTTTTAGGCTCGGTACATACCGTCCGTCCTTTTCTTTCTCCTCAGTCTTGCTCCACATTCACCGATTTTCGCAGCTGACTGACCGTTTGGTTCCACATAATGTCCCAGGAGCTATTCATAAACTTGCTGATAGCACAGTAAAGTGCCTCAATCACGGGTTTGTTTCCCAGAATTGTAATCTTGAGCCGAACTCGTCTGATTTTGTACATGGAGGAGGATCCTCAGCTGCTTTCATACCGCGGTTCAGACTCTGTTATATCACGCATTATATCTACCAGCCGTTCCTCATATTTTTTTCATGTGAATGAGGCTTATTTGATTTTGTGAGAACTCCAGGTGATGGCCCATGCTTCCCTTGCATGTCGATCAACGTTTTTCCTAGATTTGTATTTTGAAACACACAACCCATCCTACCTTCTAGAAGTGTAGAAAATTCCAGACACCCATCTGTTCGAAGATGTCACCGTTTCTTGATCGACTGTGATTTCAACTCAATTCATCCTCCTCTTCGCTCCGTGTCCTCATGCAGAAATTTTCCGGGCGTCATCGCCAAGCCTCCGGATGCAAGGGTCACGAAAGCTTGGCCCAACGGGAGAGAGGTATTTATCAAGCCGAGATGATCTGATAAAAAAAAAATCTTTTTTATCTGATTTTGTTCACCTGAGGCTCCATTTGGACCCTTTTTCTACGCTATGATCAATACATGATTAATTGTGTCGGCCCTCGGGGGCCTCCGGTGGTCCATTTTGCGCGTCTTTCGAGGCCATTATAATGGCTTCCACTCCCTTGGGAGCGTGTTTCGCTCATTTGACATGGCAATTTTACCCAGTCACTTGTTTTTCGTATGAGGCTCGCATCTTTCACAGGCGTCCTGCTTGCCGTGGCACCGTCTCTCGCAGCAGCGGATGAATACATCTGGCCCTCGCGCTATGACGAACTCGAAGACATC